TGTGTGTGTGTGTGTGTGTGTGCCTGCGCACACACAAAACACTCCCACATTGAATTTTCTCGTCTTTTGTACCAAATCCTAGACCAGATCGGGCACCTGGGGAACAGCTGGAGATTTTGTTTGCTATGGTGAGGGTAGGTAGTAGTGGTAACTGGGGTTATCCTCTGACTTACATAGCTAAAGAGTTTTGCAAAGCTGAGTTTTTAAAGTATTGATGTATATGAATAATTTTTTGAACGGAGCTTTTAATATTAAATAATCCCTTGAGTGTTTGGTAATTATATGGCCTTGGCTTTTCACCCCAGAATGCTTATAGTTTGGGCAAAATTCCTTTCATGACTGTGAAGTATCAGGAGCGGTTATTGGGACCATGGCCCTGCTTCTAAACTCCTGGGAAGCAATATGATGCAAGCTAAAAATAACAAAAGACCAAAAACAAGGCTTCAGGAGAAAGCTGGGTCTGGGTCCAGTCCAAGCTGCTCCGGGAAACAAAGACAAAAGGCACTAAAGACATCCAGGATTTATCCATTACAAGCATGGAAAGAAGGAGAGCAGGGTACGGTTTGAGACAGCTGGTGACAGAGTGCGAAGCTTCTGGTGATGGCGGTTATCACAGGCAGGGCTGTGGAGCGGGAGGCACTTGCTTGCCTTGCTGGAGAGAACAAAGGGGGACCTGGATTCATGCGAGTCCTAATTGAGCAGCAACCCATTAGGTCAGTAAGGGAAGCCATAATTCAGAGGAAAATAATTTAATTGGGATCAAGCAGACCTGGGCTGGAAGTTAACTCAGCAGGGCCCTGCCACGTTACAGACCAGGTCTTAAGACTCAGAGGAAGCTACTGGAGGAGGAGCTAGGCTCACCTAACTCGGCCACATGACATGCCCATTTGAGCCACGCTCCAATTAGGGTTCAGTCAGACTCCTAATATAATACAGCCGAACTATGGGGAAGCAGGAAGCTTGTGCCACTTATAGCCGGCTAGTCCTGGGCAGGGGTGTCTGCTCCAGGGAAGGATCCTGCTTTGGGAACACTGGGAAATTTTCCCTCGGCGTTTCATGGACCAAGTAAAAATGTCCTGGTTTTGCCGGAAAGACATACTACTCTCAGGTATGGTTTCAGACTTGGATGACTGTCCGAGTCCATGACACTCGGCACGGAATTGCTCGCTCTAGAGGTTTTGCTCTCTGCTGTTACTGTCTGACCTGTCCCCATCCGGCCAACAGCTTCCTTACCACGCCTCCATCCCAGGTGGGCTGTTCCCAGCCAGGGTCATCACTGTGTCCGGCATCATCCTACACAACGCTAAGAGGTAAGACGGGACCTCCAGGGCTCTCAGGGAGGAGAGAGCCATCCCCTGGCTCCAAGCAGAGTGGAAATGGGGGGAGGCAGAGGTTGAAGCTCAAGGACAGAAAGGGTCCATATGATGCTCCTACTCCAGCTTCCACATCAACCTGTGCACTGGGAGTGACATCGCCTTCCACCTGAACCCTCGTTTTGATGAAAACGTTGTGGTCCGAAACACTCAGATCCAGGGCCGCTGGGGGGAAGAGGAGCGAAGCCTGCCCTTCACTATGCCCTTCAGACAGGGATACAGCTTCACGGTAAGATGCTGCAACCTGGAGCTCTGGGAGCTCACTGGGTGCAAGGGAGCAAAGGGCGAGGAGTGAGAGGTGTGACTGATGACAGGGATGGGCCTCAGAGGAGAGAGAGTGTGCCGCAAACTATTAATATGTTACCATTACTGTCCGCCCTCGCCCCAGGCAGGTGTTAGCATCTGCTTTTTTTTTAAAGCTCAAATTAGTTTAATACATGATGCAATCAGACACACTGAAAGCCTATTTTGTACTTCTGCACTTAGGGTACTCCTTCCAGACTTGTAAGAACTGCACAGAAGACAAACATTCCTGAAGATCTGTACTTATTTAGAACATTCCTGTTAAGAGTGCTATAGGTTGATACTTCAAAAACAACACACTGTGGGTCAGGCTGTGAATATATTTTTGTGGTGTTAGTCAGTGTTACATTTATGAGATGCAGTGACAAACACACTAGGGCTTCTCAACCTGAGCACTACTGACACTTGGACCAGGTACTTCACTGAGGGGCTTGTCCTACAGGCTGTGGATGATCAGCAGCATCTCTTGCCTCTCTCAATTATTTAAGAACTGCCAGTGGAAGTCTCTCCCAGTTGTGACAAGCAAAATCTCCATTTCCAATTTAAAAATCAGTGGCATAGATTAAGAAATGCATTCAAAATCTAACACAGCAATGCTCAGTATCCTCACGGCCTGTTTTGTGTACTCATACTGGATGACTCTGATAAGCCATCCAGGGTGGCTGAGGATAAATGGCCACTCATTTTCTGCTTATGAGTATAAGCATGCGTTACAAAGAAAACAGCACAGAAATTTAAGTTGAACATTGGTTGACCTAAAAATCAAATGCAAAAAAGAAAATTATACTTGGGCTACATTGTAACATTAAGCTTAGGGTTTCTACTGGGGCTGTGTGATATACACTGAGGAGTTCTGAGAAGAACGAAGTTTTGTGATAAACTATCGCTGAATCTAGCCCAGTACTGTACTGGAGTCCTAGCCAAATAAAGTTAAGACGAGAAACAGAGATTAGGTACAAAAATTAGAAAGGGAGAGACTGCTGTCCTTATTTGCAGATAAGGTTGCTTCCAACAGCATCTATGGACAAACTATTAGAACCAGATAAAGAATTTCAAGACGGTCGTAAGGACCAAATGTAAAAACCAGTAGCGTTCCTTATACACAGTACTAATTGAGAAAATGTAACAAAAGTCATAGTCAAAACAGTTCCCTTATCTATATATGAACTAATACAAATGTCTGAGACCACTATGGAGAACATTTTAAAGCATCATTCAAAGACATTAAAAGCTCATATTAAATGGAGATGCTTCTTATTTATAAAGAGTAAACCTTTCAAAATTGTTAATTCTCAAATTAATCTACAAACCAAAGTAATTCCAGTTAAAGTCACAATAATATTTTCATTGAACATGTCAAGTTGATTCCACCCTTTATAGAAAGATGAGAGTCAAGAATAACTCAGGTAAATTTCAAGAACATACAATTCCTCCATCAGATACCTAAGATAGCTATATAGTGACAAGGACAGTACAGTATTGGGTCGGTGACAACTGACTGATGAGGGAGTAAAGGGGACCCCATAAGCTTCAGAAAACCCATGAATGACAAAGATGGTGCTGTATGAGGTGCAGTCAGGCTGACTGCCCTGGGGAATTTGTCACCTCACCCTCTGTTTTGGCTCCTGTAAAGGAATAAGAGAATATTCAAAGGTCACGAGCAAGATAAGAAAATTGTTGAAAACTGAAGTTATGGTTATACCAGGCATTCAGTACTGGCCTGGAAGCTCCCAAACCACTTAGAGGCTGAGTTCATGAGCGATTCTCGGGTAGGACGTAACCAACACCCCGGCCAGTGACTCGACACAGGTTATTTCTGGACTTCTACTATTTAAGGCTTCGTAGACTGGACAACTGTTTTCAGGAATAGTAAAATGAAAAAAAAAAGAGTCATATCTGAGAACCTACGGAATTAAGTATTAGCAAAGAAGAGGCCTTTGGGGGACTGCTCATATCATGTATTTACAGGGAGAGAGAGGGAGATGGAAAATTCTACTCTTGCCCTCTGTCCTAAGACCCCTTTGACCACAGACAGCCACAGCACATTCTCACCCTAGGCTATAGAAAGGCAACTAAAGTTTATTCAGGCAGAGCTTTCTCTGTACCTATGGTCCCTGTCAACTATTTCTGAAAAGGAAAAGAAAAAACAGTTTAAAGTTGATTTACACTTTATTAATGATAAAAAATACAAATATGGTAGCAAAACATCCTCACCCAGTGTGTAATTTTTCATGATTCATTTCAGTGGAGATATTCCAGAAAACATCCTAAATTCATTTTAAGTCAGCTTATGCAGCCACACTGAAGTTCACACGCTCACGTTTGCATATTAAAAGGGAACAGAAGATGGGAGAGGAACCAAGTCGCACATCCCTCAAGAGGGTCATAGTGCAACCGAACGCTTCGTTGTTAGGACACCTCAAGTTGCCTGGGATACAGAAAAGTAAAAATGGCGTGTATTTTCCTATGCATTATCGTCACTGGGCTCCTAGCCCTACAGATGTCTGACCTCCTTTACGCTGTGTTGTGAACCAAGTCGCCAGCCTCCCCACATGCAGATGTTTCAGTAGTTTGTCAAACAATGTCAATAAGGCACAGAAACACTGGAGAGTTTGGTGACACCAGCTATTTTACAGTCATATGTAAGAATAATTATTTGAGTATATTTGTGCATAGTTCTAGTTGGTACCTTTGGGGAAGACAGTTTCCATTTCCTCAATGGCATCTGGTTCTAAAGCACAGCGAGTATTTATAGTTTTTAAAAGGAAAGACGTTCCAACCTCAAACACCCCAATTTCATTTCTTAAAATCTCACAACTACTTTGCAGTTCCAACGACTAGAATAAAAATTTAAATTCTGCTAATAACCCTCAAGGACCAGTTGACCCTTTCATTTGGGTTTAAAGATTATAGGTCTACTGGCCTACTCAGGAACATACTAACCCTCTTAAAAATGTGAAAAGAGCATCCTGACACAGATAAAGAACAGGAGCTCTATGTCTTCCAATGTCTCAGAAAAGCAAATATTTATAAGCTTTTCTTTCACTGAGAAATTGAGTTTAGTCTCTTAAATTCCCTTTAATTTGTACATTGGAGTTGTTTTAGTTTCTTACAGAAGATTTCCTGGCAAATAATAACTAGCAGGTTAAGGGCTTGTTCGATCTGGGTCTTCTTTAAGTATAAGAATGAACAGAAATATAACTCATTTCTGCCCAAGGAGACTAACATTACAAGGTTTCAATAAAACTAGAACAAATATTTCTGGATGCACCTGGTTTTTAGGGGTTTCCCAAAAAGGCCTTATCGTTAAACCTACGCTCAAGACAATAAAATAAAGAATGAACTAAGCTGGATGGGTGTCCTTCAAAGCTGTGTTTAAGGGTTTGAGTGGATTTATTTATTTATTCATTTATTTTTTGGAGTGGATTTATTTTTAGTCTCCCATCTGGAAAGGAGAGAAGCAGGGACAGAACATGTATAAAGGGCAAACGAGATCACAGGAGAAGTTACTTGCCAGAGGTCACATGGCCCATTCCTATCAGTCTACACCCAAGAATGAGGTGCGGTCTCGTATCCCCTTATTCACGCAGCAGGCGTTTATCAACTCTGAGTGGTCCCACAAGGGGCAGGAAGTGCCCCGTGAGCAGGGATGCAGCCAGGGAGCAGAGAGGCAAGGTCCTACCCCTGGGGCCGCAATCTAGGCGGGCAGGAGCAAGGAGACCGAGGCGTGAGGCCATCAGCACGGAAAGGACAGGTGCTGAACAGAAAGGCAACCAGGGCCTGGGGCGGAGGGAGCCCCACGGCTGGGGCCAGTGTGCAGAGCAGGGAGGGGCCTGTCCAGAGCTGCACTGCAAGGTGGAGAGCGAGGGTGAAGAGGTGTGGGCGAGGCTGCAGCTGGTCAGCCCAGCGGGCCTTCTCCACCCTGACTGCAGGTTCAGGTCCCCCACAGAGCTCACAAAAGGGAAAGCCAGGTACAGAGGTGCCTGTACCTGTATTGGCAGCACTCTGGGGTCTGAGACAAGTGTGAGCCCAGCCTGGGCATTTTAGAGACTTAGGCCCTGTGTCAAAGTGAAAAATGAAAAAGGGGGCAAGGAATGTAGCAGTGTGAAGGCACCGGGTTCATTCCCTAGTACCACAAACGAGAAAGGAAAGGACGAGGAAAGAAGGGAGGAAGGAGCGGAGGGGGTAAGGGGAGGGCAAGAGGGAGAAAGCAAGGAGAGAGAGAGAGAGAGGGAGAGAGACAGAGAGAGAGAAGGTAAGAAAGCTCCATGATGCCCCACCCAGATCCCAGCCATGGAGACGGTCAGCCTGGGCGTCCTCCTGGGCACCCACCTGGGCACAAGTTATGTCCTAAATGATCGCACTCTGCACTCTGCTGGAGATGACTGGGGTTCAGCTTTGTGGGATGTGAAGGGAGCTTGGCTTTTCCTACAGTGAGAAGAGCAGCCACAGGCGCCGTACCTTAGATTGGAGATGACTGGGGTTCAGCTTTGTGGGATGTGAAGGGAGCTTGGCTTTTCCTACAGTGAGAAGCCACTGGGGAGCAGCCACAGGCGCCGTACCTTAGAATCAGAGTAGCTGTGTGACCTTGGGGCAGTGCCCTTCAGCCAGGGACAGTCACTTGGGTCTTTATGTCTCGATTTCCTCTTCTACAAGGGGAGCTGAGAATACAGGGATCTCAGAAAGCTGCGGGAGTGGACTGAGATGGTCTCTGTGCAGGCAAGGACTGTACCCAGCACATGAGTGTGACCACTGCCGTTGGTACCCTCACTGCCTCCTGGAGAAGTCCTGGGCTGCACAGGATGAGTCAGGAGGCTGCTGCTGCAGAGTCCAGGCGTGAACATGGGGACACAGGTGGCACAAACAGCACTGCTGTCCCTAGTGGCCTGAGGAGGCCATGAGTCAGCTGGGAGGGGCTATGGGAGTGGGCAGGGAAGGCTGGGCAGAGGGGTCTGGATCCTGAGGTGCTGGGCAGTTACCACTCGGGGAGAGATGCAGGCAGGGAGCAGCATCCAGGCTGGGAGCCGTGTGTGCTAAGGTACAGAGGAGCAGAGCACCTGGGTGTGTAGGGAGGAGAGAGGGTCACCAGTGCAGGAAAGGGGCTTGTGGGGTAGAGGAAGGAGGCAGGGAAGGAGGGACCTCTGAGCCTACAGCAAAGTCTGAGGACTTTCTATGTGGAATCGGAATGGCAAGGTCTTTCTGCCCAGGTGTGGATCACATGCGAAGCCCTCTGCTACAAGGTGGCCCTAGACGGCCAGCACCTGCTGGAATACGCCCACCGCCTCAAGCACCTGCCAGACATCGATCATCTGGAAGTGAATGGTGACATCGAGCTCACTAAAGTGACTGTCTAGGCTCCCTGACCTGGTGCACCACTGTCTGGATCTCCTCCCACTCCTCTTCCGTGCCCTGCACCAGCTTCCTGAGCCCTGACATTTGAGCAGAGGGTGCCTCTCATTGTCACAGCTGCAGGTGAACCTCCAGCTCCACTCCTCTGGCAGTGAGGGGGTCCTGAGCCTGCTGAGACCCAGCAAAAACCCCGACTCCATGGGGCTCTCAATCGCCCTCCCTTCCTCTGTGCAGCCCCACCTGGGTCCCAAGCCACAGCTGTGCACTGAAGTAAAGAGGTGACCTGCGCGGCCCTCCCATTCCTGTGACCCTGGCCTCTCTCCTTGGCTTTGCACCTGCTGAAAAGCCAGCCCCTTGGGGAAGGCTGCTCTGGTGACCTCCAACTGGAATCCATCAAACTGACTAGAACTTTCCCAGCAAAGGCTCTTCCCCTTCCTGCCTCCTTAGAATAAAGAAAGCACTGTGCTGTTGGCACACAGGACTGCTTTATTTGTGTGCCTGGGGGTATGTCGAGTTCTCTGGAATCTGCGTCCCTGCCCAGTGGAGTGGGAAAGGGCAGCACGCCTTGTCTTTGGGCAGAGGGGTCCTGACATCCATACCTGCTCCCAGGGGCCCCTCCCAAAGCCCTTGAGGGCTCTGAAGAAGCAGCTGGAATTCGGGCCTTGGGAGGAAGCGTCTCTGCCACAGACATCCTCAGAGCCCAAATGTCCCCAGTCACTGAGAGGGAGAAGGCGGGGCAGAGCCCGGATCATGGCAGAGCCAGGAAGCCAGATGCCCTTGTGCCAAGTGGGAGGGGAACAGGTGGGGAACCTGGCATGAGGGATGGGTGTGCAAGAGCTGAGTGTCTCGGTACCAGGGATCTGCCGGCCACCGAGCAGCGTGAGGGAGCCCAGCTACACATCCACGTGATGCCATCTAGAACTTTGTCCCCCAGGGTGGAGTCCTCAGGCAGCAGCATCACCATGGGGCTGGTTAGCAGCAGAATCTCAGGCTTTACCTCAGACTTACTGAGCAGGAATCGGAGTATTCATGAGATCTGTGGGGACTCCTATGCTCCGTGAGTGTGTGAGCGGCCCTGGTCAAGGTGGCTGTATTCCTGGCCATGCTGTTCAGACTCCTTTCTCTTGGTCAGGACACAGATCTTTTCTGGGTGACCAGAGGTTGGCAAGACCCCTCTCCTGCCCCCTCATGTGAGTTGCTGTTGTCAGAAGTGGAAGAAGAGGCAGGAAGGGAGAAGCAAGGATGGAGCCCATGAGGTTTGGCCGGCAGGGCTCTGGCCTGCAACTCAGTCCCTTCCTTCATTCTGCACAGATGATGGGGTTCTGTCTCCTCCAAGCCCTCCCAGTTGGCTACACACAGAGAAGGGCTTGGTCTCTGAGGCAGGCAGGGACGGGGTTGGCCTTTACCGCTCCCTGCCAAGTCCTCCTCCCACAGGAGGCTGTGCCAGCTTTTCCCAAGTCACCCTCAGCCAAACTTCACAGCAGGGAAAATGCCTTGCATAATGGGACCTGGAGGACAAGGCCTTGACTGAGGACAGGCACCGAGGGCAGGACCCCTCCCACCATTCTCAAAATCAGCTCCCTCTCCTCAGCTGTCCCCAATTTCCCCACCACCCTCTTTGGAGAAGCACAAAACTCTATCTGCTACCATTTCAAAGAAGAATCCATGGCCTGGCTGGTAAGTTCTTGTGGGGTACTTGGTCTAGGTGTTGGCCCAGCCCTGGCCACTCTGACTTGTGGCTTCTGTGGCTTCTATTCCTACAGTACGCCTCACACACACACACAATACAGTTGAAATGAAACATATTTTATATAAATTTTTCATCAAGGAAATACAGGGAAGGCTCAAGTGGCCTTTGGGAGGAGATAGGGGTGTTTTAGGACAGAAACGTGAATCTTGTACACAGGGCACATAAAATACATACTGGCACAATATCGCCATCTGGTGGCCACTCAAACTGCTGCCAGTGCAGAGGATGCTTCCGCGTTCCTCTCAGGCTTAGCAGTGCAGATTCGGTGCGTGGGCTTCAGGGACAGACCCCAGTCCGACAAGTCCAGGATGTTGCTCAGTGTTACTTTCAGCACCTATCAAATGCCTCCCCCTATTTGTCTACCCTGACAGCTACCAACCTTAACGTTATGCGTTAATAGCATTATTAAAGGTTATTTTTTATGACACTGTCATTTTATTTATTTTTATAATTGCCTTCTAAGTAAAAGAAATAACACCAAATTTCACCTAAGGCAGTGATTCCAAAGGTCCCATTTTTTACACACAGGGCTCACTCTGACGCCCAGTGTGATCCTCCCATGGTGTGGTCGATGCAGGCAGCCCCAACCGCTCCCAGCCCACCACGCAGTCACAGAAGCCACAGTCTCTGTTGAACACTGCATTGCTGAACTTCATGTGCAGCAGGCCAGGTGTAGTGATCGTGTTTTCCGTTGTATAATATTTGCAGCTTATGATGTGTTTCTCTGGGAGTAGGGTCTCAGAGGGCACAAGACCCCCCATTGTGGAGTGAATCTGGGAAGGGAAAGCCAGATCCTATGTGCTGTTCCCTGAGGCTGGCTGGAATAGCAAGAGATTGGTAAGAGCATCTGGGGACAACACAGATTCTGAGGTTTCTTTCCTTCTCTGGACAGAGTTCACAGCACCAGCAAACAACTGCCCGTTTTCTCGGCGTACCAGTAGTTTAAAGTGAATATCATAGATCACATGGGCTGTACCGGGCCCTGTTCTAAGTGCTGTTCATCCTCTTACCGCTCTGCCAAGATGTTGTTATTATCACAGTTTCATAAATGAGCAGAGAAACTGAGACGCTAAAATTAAAGTTCTTTGCTGATGACCCCACAGCATGCAGCATTCCTTTAACATGGGCAACCATATGCCTAGTTACATCTCAGGGCCTCCGGCTGGGAGTGTGACTCAGTGACTGCACATAACTGGTCTAGCATGCACAAGACCCTGAGTTCAATCCCAGCACTGCACACAAAATAGAATTTAAAATCCCAGGGCTTTAAGCACTGGGAGCAAAGGAAGAATGGACACCAAGAGGCTGAGCTGGATCCAAACCTCAGCGCCTCATTGTGTGGTCAGCGGGAGTTGCAGGTAGTCCAGAAGGAGAGAGGGTCTCGGCATCCAGGGTGGTTGCTGTACGCACTCAGCACGCAGTGAATGTATGAAGCCCAGTGGCTGCTGTCTACCATGATCTGACTCTGCACTTGCAGGAACAGCAGGCTGGTTCCCCAGAAGCGGGGTTTAACACGGACCCTGGGACCCAGGGACTTCCTTCTCTGCAGCCCAGTGTGCCTGGGGCTTCGAGGATCACAGCCTGTGGGTGGCCTGTGACACTCTCGTTTCCAGTGTGGATATTGATTTCCACCTCCACTCACTTTGACAGCTTGTGTTGTTTGAAGCTTGTGTTGCTCACTTTGGTGGCTTCTGGGCTGGGAGGCGGAGCTGCCCTGAGAAGTACACTCCCATAGGCTGCTCACCTGTTCATGGCCAACAACCACTGAGTGTCTGCTGCCTCCCACTGCACACACAGCCGGTGACAGTCCTGGGGAGCAGAGGCTGGAGCAGGCGCCACAGCCGGGGCTCTGCACCTGACCCTGTCCCTCCTGTGCTGGGTGGTCTGAGCCGTCTGTGCAGATGGAGACAGGCCCGAGTCATGCAGGGAGTGGGTGACTCAGTCCTGTTTCTGGATCACCGCTCCATCACTATTGTAGCTGGGGCTGATCATGATGACAGCTGCTAGCGGGAGCCTGAAGGGCAGCTGCCACGTCGGATTTTAGTTGATGAGAACTACTGAGTACTAAGATTCGTAAAAATAGTAAGAATAATGCTGGGCTGCATCAGAGTAGCTGGAGTGTCTAGAAACAAGGGAGGTGAAAAACTCATCCCCGCACTTGCCCCGGGTGGAGATGGCGCTGTCACAGTGCTTCTTCCCCTTGTTGCGACTCATCCGTGTTGCTACCCCAGCTCCTCTTGTAGCTGGGCGCCACTCCATCGTGTGGATGCCATAGTTTCTGTCTCCTCTTTTCCGTTGGAGAACACGTGGGTTGTTTTCAGATCGAGGCTGTGATGGTAACGCTGTTGTGAACAAGGGTGCGTGCTTCCTCTCTCTGGGGTTAGCAGTACGGAGTAGAATAGCCAGGACAGAGAAGTAGACATTTCACGGTACAGCCCAAGAAGCTCTGAGTTATATTTCAACTTTGTTTAACATTATGTTTCTTTCTTTACTCATATTTAAGAAACAGGGCCTTACTATGTTGTTCAGGCTGGTCACAAGCAATTCTCCTGCCACAACTTCTGGAACCATCGGCTTTCACCAAGATGCCTGGTTCTAAGCTGTATTATTTTACACTCCATCCACAATCGACGAGTGATCCCTTTGTTCCAAATTCCAACTATTTGGCAATTGCTTTCCAATGAGGCATCCCCACAAAATTGTGCCAGGTGTCCACTGTGTTAGAGAGGATTGTAAGGACTTTCCTTTCCTTTCCTTCCTTCTGGTTACAAGTGGGCTCTCTGATTCTTTTTTTTTTTTTAAGGAATACTTTATTAGTTTCTGTAACCTTACATATTTAATACAGTGCATTACCCCTGTACAAATGGAAAAAAATTAACATTTCTAGACCAATATGGCTGTCAATTTCTGTACAATGCCAACTCAACACAGTAAATTGGGATAACTTTTTCCAAAGTTGATAGCACAGCTAAAGTTTCCAAAAATTCAAATTATATATATGTATATATATTTATATAAAAAGACCAATGATAGCAGTAGGTTGTGCATCAATAGCAGCAACAGCTTTTCCAGGTTCTGCAGTCATATGAACCAAATTAGAGACATTCAGCACATTCCATTAAAAAAAAAGCAAAACAAAAAAACAAATAAAAGAATAAAACCCAGAAAACAGCAAAGTTCTGTTGCTGTTGTGGTACCTGGAACCATTTTTTAAAATTATCATCTTAATCATCATCTGGAAAGAGAACATTCTAGAGTAATATCATTAAAAATAGCTCTGATAAAGCACGGTCCCTACTACATATCATAAAGCAGGTATAAGATATTTTACATTCAGAGAGGTATGATACAGTACCGTCCTACATCAATAATACTAGAATCAGTTTTGGTTTGAAATTTACTTTGTCTGCAAATAAGATTGCTACCCCTGCTTTTTTTTGGGCTCCTGTCACATGGAGAATTGTTTTCCATCCTTTCACTTTCAGTCTATGGTCTTCTTTTTGCACTAGGTGTGTTTCTTGTATACAACATATTGTTGGATTTTGCTTCTTATTCCATTTTGCCAGTTTATTTCTCTTGATTGGTGAGTTGAGGCCATTGACATTGATGGTTATAACTGATATGTACTGACTTATTATTGTCATGTTATTGGCCTTTAGTTGACTCTTTTTACTTTTTCACCTTCTCCTTTTAGTTTCTTGCCTTGCCTATTTGATTTGTTCTGTTGGGCCTCATGGTGTTGTTGCCTTCATTGTCTTTTTCTAGGATCTTGTTTAGAATTGCTTATAGTGCTGGTTTGGTATTCATGTAGTTTCTCAGGTGTTCTTTGTCGTGGAAGTGTCTTGTTTCCCCATCCATTTTGAAAGGGAGTTTTTCAGGATACATCAGTCTAGGTTGGAGGTTGTTCTTTTTTAGTACTTGAAATGTCTCACTCCATGCTCTCCTTGCCCTAAGGGTTTGTGTTGAAAAGTCTGCTGTGATTCTGATGGGCTTTCCTTTGCATGTGATTTGTTTCTTTTTTCTTACTGCTTGTAGTATTTTGTTCTTCTGTTGGGTTTCTGGGATCTTGATTATTATATGTCTAGGTGTATTTTTTTTTTTTTATTGTGGCTAGTTGGGGTCCTATATGCCTCACTTATCTGAATGTCAAATTCTTTCCCTCTGTTTGGGAAGTTTTCTGTCATTAATTCTGTGAACAGCTTTCTAAAGTCATTTGTACTTTCTCCTACTACTTCATGGATTCCTATCAGTCTTATGTTTTTCTTTGCATCATCTAGGAGTTTTTGGATTGATTTCTCATGATCTCTTACTGTTTTTAAGAGACCTTTCTTTTCATGGTCACTGACTGCAATCTTATCTTCTATATCTGAGAGCCTATCTTCACATTCTTTTATTCTGTTGTGTACACTTTCAATAGAGTGTTTAATCTCCTGGATATCTGTTTGAATCTGTTTTATGGATTCCATTTCTTTCCTATGTTGGGCATTTATTTTTTCCATTTCTTTCTTATGCTGGGCCTTCATGGCTTCTATCATGGTCCTGAGCTCATCTATTTTTCTGTCAGTTTCTGCTCTAGAGTCTCAAATCATGCATGACTTCCATTTTGCTCACTATCTCTATGGTTATCTAGGAAATTATTTCTGTTTTGAATTTTTCTAGAGCCTGATTGATCTGTTTTGTTACTTCCTGTGCTTTGAGTTCAGGGTGTCCTGGTGGTTCACTATCGGCCTTTTCATCCTCATTTGCCCTACTGTTTGCCATTGGTGAACTGGAAGTCTGTGCTTGTGTCTTGCTTAAGTGTTTTCTCATTTTTATTTTGTTGTCGGGCTGTCCTTGGTTTAATCTCTGGGTTATCACCCAAATCTTCCTGATATAGTTGCACCCTACCTTCTGGGTCTCTAACGACCCACAGACATTCTCATCTTCATAACATCAGAGAAGACAGCTCATAATCACCCACTATCCCAATTGATACAATCAGCAACACATTATGATCAAGCACAACTTGGAAACTGACCACCTGTGGTAGTCACTAGTCTATCACCCTTAAGCCATTTGAATTAAATTGAAATCCAGAAGCAGTCCAGAACATGTCTGCAGTGAACAGACTTTTCAATATAGTATAATTACCATTTAGGATGGGGGCTCAGACAGAGCTAGGACGCAAGGCCCCTGATCTCAGTTAGCTGATGGCTGAACCCCATGCCGCTGACTGACCTCGGGTTGCAAGGCCCAGATTGAGTTCCTCGACCTTCTGAACGGTTGAACTACACACCGTTCTACTACAGGTTTCCCACGCCCTTTCTTTAAAGATGTTCAAAGTTGGGCACTCAGAAAAATACCCTTTATGACCACCTCTGCTTCTGCAGAGTGGGTCCCAAGACTGGCACAGTCAGGAGGTCTGAGAGTGCGGGTGGGGGGGTATAAGGGGAGTTATGGGGGTTCAGGGGCACCAGCGCGGCTACCTTCCTGGCTCTGGGGTGATGGCGGCTCAGGGCAGGAGCAGGCGTGGCTCTCCTTCCCACGGTGGATTGGGGCCCGGCTCCTGATTCTTAAACCCAGCCCAGTTCTGACTAATCCAGGGGATGCATAACGGGGATGGAGGGTGCAGAGGGGACACATGGCCTCTGTCTATGGGAACATCTACAGAAAGTTGGTCTTCACAACTACGAGTGCATCTATACAGATCACGGGAAGGGAGAAAGCTACAAATGTACGTGTGGCCTGGGGCATCTCGTTCCCACTCTGTGTCTGGAGGACCCTTGTCTTAGTCCATTTTGCAGTGCTATCACACACTTGGTGATTCATAAACAACTGAGGTTGATTTCTCACTTTTCAGAGGCTGGGGAATCCAACACCCAGGCACCAGCAGCTGGTCAGGGCCGGCCCTGCATGCAGCCCAGAGGAAGGTGCACAGTGGGAGGGCAGGAAGGACACAAGGGGCAGCATGGGTCGACCTTGAGGCCTGGTGCCCTTTCGTTATAAATCTGCTTGTGAGACAGGAGGCTTCGTGACCTCCACACTGCTCGGCACAGGCACACTGGGACCAGGTTTGCAACGTCTGAACTTTGAGGCAATAGCAACACTTAACAGCTCCCTACCAGCTGGCCGCCCTGGCTCCCCGCACTCGTGGCAGGGACCTGATTTACTCTAGGTCGCCTTATTGTCACACACCACCACCACCCCCAGCCTACCTTGCTCTTTGTGTGAAAGCCAGTGATTTCCCTTACTTCGTGCTAAAGCCAATTAAAGGCAGTCTCCTTCTAATGCTCCTTCCTGTCACCTTCCCTGTCACTAGAGTGTTGTGTCCACAGCTTCTCTCCCCACCCTGAAGCCCAGGGAAAAAGGAAGAAAAAGATAAATTCACAGAAGGGGGATCGGAAGCTCCTGACGCATCCTTTCCTCTAGAATCAAAATCTCCAGGTTAGGGTTTTTCTCACAAAACAGTTCTTCCTATGTAATCATGGTTTTGAATGAGGAAAGGAATAGAAATTTAAAAGGGAGAAATACTTTCTGGAGAGCCAAAGTATTCTCAAATCGTCCAGGCTGCCACACATGAGCCACGTCCCTTGTGCTCTCTGGGCCTCATTTCTCAGCCAGCCAGGCCCCCGCCCAGGCCGTGGTCTCCTGCACACTGGGACAGAGTGTGCTCAGGAAGCTCAGCACATATTTCTCCACAGTGCTGTTTACATACTCACTGCTATGTCACTTTTTTATCTTTGTGAACCCAATGGGATTTAGTCTCTAGGTGGTGCACAGGAGGTCAAAGGAGAGAAAAGGCCACAGAACTGGGAGTGCCTGCTTTACTCTCCCTGAGCCCCACCCACATCCCTCACCCCGGCACCTACCTACCTTTGTCTCTCTGAACTGGCCTCCTGCACCCTGGCTCCTCCTTGTTGAAGAGCTGCCAGACTGCTTTGGTTTCCATTTTCTGCAGAAGTCCAGCTCTGTGTAGAGACAGCTGAATGAAAGGCAGCAGGGGCCACAGAGGCCATGGAGAGATGGCTTTTTCTGGCCCCCAACCACCCTACGTGAGCCCGGTGAGCTTGGCACTGTCCTGCCCTGAGCTGGCTGCACAGCCAGAGGGAAACAGCTGGGGGTCTCTGAGGGAAAGACTGGATGGCAGGGGCTGGTGTTGGGGGGACAGCCCAAAGAGGCCCAGAGGAGAGAGGAAATGCCAGGGGAAGTCATCCAGATGCAGCTCCTGTTCCATGGCTTCTCATCTATGGAAACCACCTGGTCGAAGTGACCTTAATTACTGCGATTTTCATGCGTGACACTTGCTTACTGAGCTGGCTCTGGGTGCCTGCCCCATCCTCGGTACATGTGGAAGACTGGCCTCGTACCATCCAGAAGGGTGATGGTTTGTATGAAGGGGAGATGAGCAGTCTTTTGGAAAGAAAACAACCTGCATGCATAGCACTGATGACTTCTTCTCTGAAAACTGCCTCCAGGGTTCAGCCATTCGCTAGCTGAGCGACTGCAGCAAGGTACTCTCTGGGCCTCAGTTTCCACATTTATAAAATGGATATAATACTCTGAGGCCAGGGTAGAGATCATGTGAAGTAAGATATCTAGCATGTTTGAATGGTATCTGGCCTGCTGCAGGTGCTCCGGGAGTGTTGAGCATTATCAGGAATTAGGAGGCAGCATGGAAGGCCTCTGAGGAGGTGTCTGTGTTCCAAAGGCTGAGTTGGAATTCACAAGCCAAGGGTGCACCCTGGCTCTCTGTAGAGGGGCTGTCTCCATACTAAGGCCTAGAGTGGGGCTGTCCCTGCAGGGGGCGGTACGAAGGCCTCGTTCAGTCATCCGCTGTTCTCCGGCAGCCAGGACTATGCTTTCTCCCAAACGTCAACTGTGTGGGAGGCCATTCGCCCACAGCGATGCTGAGGAATTGCACCTGCGGTGAGGGCCTGGCTGAGACACCTGGCTCCCTGTCCCAGCCAGCCTCCTCTACAGGCCAGGAAGGAAGTGGGATCGTGGGCGTGGTGGTCCAGGAATGAAGATGTTCTATGCTTCCTCATGAGGCAGCCCATGTGGGATTGGAAGCCTGAGTTCTGGTCCCGGCTCTGCCACTGAGCAGGCGTGTGGCTTTGGGCACGTTATGGGCCTTTCTGTGTTTCGTTTTCCTCACCTGTAAAAGTGGCGATGATAGTGGCAAAGGTTGTTATGGGGACGAAGGAGCTAACACAGAAATGAAAGGTTCACCGCAAGCAGGGCCTCAGATCCTTCAGGACCGCAGGGCTCTTTGGCTAAAAGCCGTGCATTGCGGGCAGCCTTGGCCAGCCAGGCTGGGGTCCCCACTGCCAGTGCCTGGATGAGGTGTCCTCTGGTGACACTGGGCCAGCAGGAGGCTGAGGCACTCTGGCCTATAAGGGTCAGGTCTGCTTACCGGACCTCCATATAAGAAGAGGAGAAAAATGTCCCAGCCTTCAGGCACAACCAGGAGCAGAGAAGTTCTGACTCAGTGAGGGATTGGTTTGTGCTGATGCAAACAGCTGCCTCGTCAAGGCTGAGCTCCAGTCATGACTCTCCACAAATGCAGCCAGATGGCATTATTGTCAGCTGACCACAGGAGACTCTGGGACCAGGTAGGTCAAGTGACTTGTCCCACATCAGCACTGCTAGCACAGGGAGCTGTCACAGGAGCCAGTTCCTGTGGAACCATAAATCCAGGACAAAACCCCTTGTCCTGAGTGCTGGAAGCCAGAGCAGCTCCCACTGTTTTCTGATGAGACCCCTCCCTGGCCCTCACACCTCCAAATTCCATAGCAGCCTTTTCAGCCAGGCTTAAAACAGCAAGTCAGTTTTCTTATAGTTTTGAAGGTCAGAAGTCTAAAATCCAAGGGTTCAAAGGCTGGAGTGTAACTGAGTAGTAAAGCTGGTGCCTATGAATCCCTGGATTTGATCTCACACACCGAAAGGAAAATAAAAAGTGTCAGAAAGTCTGTTTCCATCCAGAGCCTTCAGGGAAAGCCCCTTTCCTTGCTTTTCCACCTTCTTGAGGCTCCTGTGTGCTTTGGCTTGGGCCTCCTGCCCCCTGTCTCTAAAGCAAGCAGCTTCTTGGGCTGGGGGTGGGTAGCTTATGATAGAAAGCCTGCTTCCTGCGCCAGGCTCAGGTCTTGATCCTCAACACCACAGAAAACAACAAGAAGAAATTTAAAAATAGCAGCTTCTTCCTTCTGCTTTCCTACCTCCTACTTGAAGGCCCCGACCTTCCCACCTCCCTCTTACAAGGGCTGTTTTGATTCCATAGGATCCACCTGGGCCTCAGAGTGGAGCCCCAGGGCGCACCTTGCCAGCTCCAGATCCTTAACTTGACCTGCAAGGACCCTTCGGCCATTAAGTAGCACATGCCCAGGTCCCAGGGATCAGAATGGACGTCTCCCAGGCAGGAATGGGGTGTCATTCAGACTCCAGCTGGGTACTTGCAGTCAACCAGTATTATCAGCTTCTGGTTAATTCCTCCAGAGATTGTTTATCTGTGAATACACAAACGCAAGTACAGCTTCCTCCACCCATTTTTTATACAAATGACATCATACCATATCAATACTCGGTGTTTCTTTTTCCTCCCTTTCTTTTCTGCTCTGCTGAGGATAGAACCTGTGATCTCATACATGCTAGGCAAGAGCTGTGCCGCTGAACTACACTCCAGCCCAGTCCCTGTATTGTATGGAAATAGAATCATTTAATTCAAGTTTTTTTCCCCACTGGTGGACTTTTAGGCTTTTTCTTTTTGATCAGAGAGTAACCCATACTTTGCTTAGAGAGAATAAGGGGGGGCGGGCGATGCGAGTGGCAGAGAGGTACCCATTACGTGCCAGTCTCTTCCACAAACCTTTTGTCAGTCATCAAAGAAGCTGATTTAACAAGGAAGTTTCCCTACTTTAAAGGTGAGGAAATGAGCAGAGAGAGACTAAGAAAGCTTCCCAAGGCCACCAGGGTTATGAGCAGCAGAGCTGGGATTCAATTCAGAGTCTGCCTGACTACGACGGTGCACACCCAGTGTAAACCATTGGATGCCCTTCAAGGAGGCCCAGAAAGAAACCTGAGAGAGGGGCTGCTGATGGTGTCCAGGACCTGCGGGGGGCCTGAGGGAAAGAACCAGAACTGGGGCACAGGAGCAGGGTTAGGCAAGTGCCCGCCAAGTGATGTCCCCACGTCTTCTTCCTGCAGGCTGTTCCCTTTTCTGGGGTGATCCAAGGAGGTCTCCGGGAGGGGCTTCAGATCACTGTCCAGGGAGCCCTTCTTCAATCCAACACAAACAGGTAGACAGACCGCCCTGCTGTTTCCCCGCAGAGTTGTTCCTTCGTAGCCACCGAGCTGACCCCGGCCCCGGCCCCTGGGGTGCTCACAGCCCAAGGAGGAGAGCACGCACCCTGGTGTAGAGTTGCCTGGAGAGCTAGTATTTATTTCTGCCTCCCCCTGTAGGCACTGTCTGTGCAGGTCTATTCCCATCAATTCACACAAGCTGTAAATTAGAGCTTACGTTTCCCAGTTGAGCCGGTGTGGGCTGACTTGCAACCTTGCTAGCATCTAGTATGTGCCCACGCGGCACTGAAGGCTCTCTCTCTCATAGGCAGGTTTCACAGTTCCATCTTTGATATCAATTTGTAATTCTTTTCCAAGTCCTAGGCTTCTTGTTGCCAGTGCTAGCCAGTGCTGGCACTTTTCCTCACTTTTTTTTTTAATGTACTTTTTTTTTTTGTACCGGGGATTGAACTCGGGACCTTGGGCTTACAAGGCAGGCGGCGGCACCCCTGAGCCAAATCCCCGGCCATAAGTACTTTTTTTTTTTTTTTTTTTTGGGTACTGGGGATCGAACTCAGGTCCTTGTGCTTGTGAGACAGGCAGTGGAATCCCTGCACTAAATCCCCGGCCCGGCCTTACGTACTTTTAAAGAAAATCCCACTGGAGGGGTAAAACGCATTAAGTGTACAAAACCACATTAGGTCCAAGATAGATGGGCAGAAAGATGCCGAGAAACTATGCGCTGCCACACAGGTTCTATGCAAGAAATGCAAATATGCCAGGCAAATGTGTTCCTGTCCTGTCATTGGCAATCACCTCACCTGCACTACAGAAGACGATCTGGTTTCCCTCTGCCTAGATTCTCTGTGAACCTCCAGAGTGGTTTCAGCGACAACGACATTGCCCTTCACTTCAACCCACGGTTTGAAGAGGGAGGGTATGTTGTTTGCAATACAAAGCAGAACGGAAATTGGGGACCAGAAGAGAGGAAGATACAAATGCCCTTCCAGAAGGGGAAGGCCTTTGAGCTCTGCTTCCTGGTGCAGAGACAGGAGTTCAAGGTGAGCAGAAATACTCTCCCAAACCCTTGCCAAGCCACAAGCACACTCATCAAGATCAGGCCAGAGCAAACCCACTGCACAAACAATGAGACTGTCGTCTGGTGACTGTGTTACTCATGTAGCCTCTTCATGTGCTTTCCCCTGCACACAGGTGCTTCTGCTGCTTCTTTTGTTGTGTATACAGAACTAAATGTATCTCCGTGTGGTTTTAGGTCCTTGTTCATCTTTAAGATTCAGGTTATTTCAATTCCTGCGCCATAGCTAACCCTCCGCTGTGGATCCTGGTAACATCTAGCATTTGGAAAGCTTATTCCAGCCCTTCTCCAAGTTCTACTAAGGGTGCGGTTTTATAAGCCACTGTGGATTACCTCTGCAGGCACAGTGGTCTCCCTGGGCTTGGGGATCAGGGCGGGGTGAGTGTGTCCACATCCGTCCTTTTGTGTGTGACATGGCGTTTCCCACGCACTCAGTATGCAGGAAGAGGGTGCCCCTCCTCTGCTCCCCGAGAGCAATGTGCTCATACTGAGATATTGTCCGGGTAAGCTACGATTAGAAATGCCACCTGCTGTAATGAACAAACACCTGTTAGAAGTAAGAGCCAAAACTGGGGCCAAGTGGAGATTCGGATCGGGCACACCGTGACCCGTACCCAGTCCTGTCACCGGCCCAGTGCTGGGTGTGGACAGCAGTCTCACGTCTTCCTTTCCAGAAGCAGGAAGCCAGGTGTGTTCCTGCCCTGGCCTGGGACTCCTCCCCCAGACTGCACTCCCCTTTGGCAGGTGACGGTGAACAAGAGGTTCTTTGCGCAGTACCCACACCGAGTGCCCTTCCACCTTGTGGACACCATCTCTGTCTCCGGCCCTTTGCAGCTGTCCTGCATCAGCTTCCAGGTCAGACTGAACACCGGACACCTGTGCTGTCTCAGGGGCTGGGGTGCAGGGCCCAGCCTGGCTGTGTCTAGGCCCTGTTGACTGGGCCTAAAGGTTCCAGCCAATCTCCTCCCTCGGTGGCTTTAGGCACACACCGCTTCCTCTGTCCCGGTGACTCCCACTCCCCCTGTCAGTCACGCTGTGCCTCCTCCTTGTGGTGCTGCCTCTGTCCAGAGCAGCTGCTTTGGTTTCCCAGGCCCCTTGGCCACCGCTGTCTGTCACCCTCTATTTCTACCCCCAGTAGAAGGCCAGGTGGTTCCCAGACAGCCCACGCTGGAGGCCAAATGAAATCCAGTTCAAATTCCCAAACCTGCCATCCTCTCCATCTGTGGAATCTTTCCAGCCTTGGTTTTGTCACCTGCAGCAAGGGCACGGTCATTACCATCGGGTCGTGTGGTTCTACCATCCAACGTGCATCAGATGATGCGACACGGTCCCCAGAGCCCACCCCAGGACTTGTTGAACCCTCTCTGTGTTTTGCAATTTTAAAATGTGGTGCCAGTGTCTAAAAGGAGTGGGGATGAGGAAAATCGAACAATTGGAGCAGGCTGGGCCCACCGTAGGCTCTCAGCAAACACGAGTCCCTCTCCCTTTGGGCCTCGTTGCCCACATTCCTCCCTTCCCAGACTTTCCCTGCGGGAGCTGGGTGAGGGAGCTGCCACCCCGCCTCCACTCTCTGGGCCTAACTCACCCGCCCTGGCCGCTCAGCATGCACCCCGCCTGCCCCGGTCCACCTTGCTCCCTCCTCTGGCACTGTTGTCTGCTCCTCCTGGGCTCAGCTGTTTCCTTACCTTGGTGCCTTTTATTTTAGCAGAACTTCCCTGTGCGGCCTGCCTTCTCCAAGCCACAATTCTCCCAGCCTGTGCATTTCCCACAGAAGTCCAGGAGGCACAAAGCAAACGTGAGTCAAACACAGAGCCTGGGAGGCTGAGCAGTTAGTTACCAGGAAGGACAGAGGGACAAGAGTCTGGCCCAGCCGGCAGGCCCATCACACCCTTGCAAGGGTTCCCTGCCTGCATCCGCCAGGCGTAGAAGCCGCCCTGGACCTCCCCGGCCCCTTCAGGTTCCCTAGTGCATCAATGTTCTCCCTCTCTGAGACCCCCACTTTGGTCCAGGCCATCAAGACTCTATGGTCCATCCCCCCTCACCCCCATCTAGCGACCTTCCTAGAAATGCACTTTGTCACATCTTCTCCCTGCTTAAATAAATATAATAAAAAAATCTTCTCCCTGCTCCCAGTAAAGCTCCAGCTCCCCAGCAGGATGTCCCAGGTTTGTCCCCAGGCTCCTCCAACTCACCTCTCATCCTCACTGCCCCCAACAAAGCTCACAGAGCCTCTGCTGCTCACTCCAGGCCCTCTGGGCCACCACACTCGGCCATTCTTTGCCCACCTTGCCCCCAGCAGGCTGCTAACCATACTGCGATCCTCTGCTTAATGTCACTCCTCTGGGGAATGTTCCCTGCCTAGAAGCGTGCCTCCACATCAGAAGGCACTCAGGCCCTGTGCTCACATACCCTGAGGCCTTCGGGAAATGCCAGTTTTCACCTGGTGGTGAAATAGGGCTCTGCATGTAGTGCTCTTGCCTCTGAGGGCTCAGGAAAGCAAGGCGGTCTGGGTAAAACCCATCCTCTCTCTTGGGAAGCCAAGGAGACGTTCCTCTCTTCTAACCCTGGGCTGTCCTACACTTATGGGGTTCAAAATCAGGGTGCTCTAGGTTCAGAAAGGGTTGCTTAAGAGCAGGAAATAGATAGATGTCAAGGACCCCACCTGGAACGCAGCTGTTGTCTGTCACCCTGTGTGGCACTAGCAATAACCATAATGTTGATTATTCTCATTCTTTTCAGCCTCAAGGCATTTGGCCTGCCCCGGGTCTGGTGGTAAGTCTCTTGCCCTTGTCTTTGGTCTTCTTCATTTCAAATCGTCCTGCAGGTTAACGGGGCCATAATTCCTATGTCTTGCTGCTGGGTGGTTCTGGTGCGTGCATGACCATCCCAGCAGATGGTACAAGCCACCCAATGGAACAGCAGAGGGCTGGAGAAGCAAGGCCCTCCCCAAGCGCCTGACCTCGTGGTGGTAGGAGGAGGAGACTGGCTGGTCATGGTCAGGCAGCCAGTGGCCGGCCTAGGGAGTACAGCTCAAGGTTATCAAGAAGTATGTGCCGTGTGCTGCCCTCTGCTGACAGGAAGTGGTCTTCACCCTGCTGAGAGCTTTTTAAAAACCTAGTTTCTTCTTCCAGACTCAACCCATCATGCACGGTGTCCCTGGACCGGTGTTCTCTGTACGTCTGAAAATTCTGGTCCATTCACAACCCTGTACCTTCCCTTTTCAATAAGAAGAGAATTCCCTGAGTCCTAGAGTTGGGAAGGAAGTGGCTTAGCAAGCAGAATGTGGGGACAGTTGGGGCTCGATCCTCTACTGAGAAGAAGTGCAGCTACAGCTCTCCTTGGGGCAGCAGGGATTCTAGAACAGCCATGGAAGAAGCAGGTTCCCTAGGGAGCAGCAGAGAAAACCGTCCTGTTACCACGAAGGGAGCGTAGGGGCCCAGCTTCCGGATAAGGGGTTCGTAGCCGCGTGTCCTGAGGTGACTTCTCCCCCTCTTGCCCGTGTATATCCAGTGGGGGGTCTGCAGTGGAGGGGCTGAGAGCCAGGTCCTGGGGTCCGAGAACACAGGAAGATCCAGGAAGGCTGATGTGACAACCAAGGTGGACTGTAGGACCCCAGGGCTGGACCCTCCCCACCTCAGTCTCCCACTGGGGCATCCCCTCCAGAGAGTGTGGTTGTCTATGTGTGTGTGTGTGTGTGTGTGTGTGTGTGTGTGTGTGTGTGTGTGTGCACGGCCACCGTATCCCCACACTGAATTTCGTGGTCTCTTCCCCCACAGAATCCTGGACTATTGCCTATAATGTACCCCAACCAAAACTATGTAAGTGGCGTGTGAACAGCAGAGGGAGATTTCATTTGCTATGGGCAGGGTGGGAAGTGAATGACAGCTGGCAGTGATCCTCTGCATGGCATCATTAAAAAGAGTCCTTTGTCGGCTGAAATTTTAAGCTATTCAGGGGAATTAGGAGAGTGTTAAAAGGAGCTTTCAACTTTAAAATGGTCCCTTGAGCATGAGCTAATTCTATGGCCTTTGCTTATCACCCCAGAATGCTTTAGTGTCCGGCCAAAGTTCCTTTCATAAATGTGAAGGTTCCCTGCTTTGGGAACACTGGGAAGTTTTCCCTTGGTGTTTAATGAACCAATATGTCCTAGCTTCCTCTGGAAGTAGGACTACTCTCAGGCACGGTTTCAGACTCGGCCGATGTCCAAGTCCGTGACACTTGGTGCAGAATTCTCTGCTGTAGTGGTGGCTCCCTGCTGTCCCCAGCTGACCTGTTCCCATCCTCCCAACAGCCCATTCCTTACTTCACCTCCATCCCAGGAGGGCTGTTCCCATCCAAGGTCATCACTGTGTCCGGCATCATCTCACCCAATGCTAAGAGGTAAGACGGGACCTCCAGGGCTCTCAGGGAGGACAGAGCCATCCCTGGCCACCGGCAGACTGGGAATGGGGGCAGAGGATGAGGCTGCAGCCTGGGGGACACAGAGGGTCCATGTGATGTGCCCACCCCAGGTTCCACATCAACCTGCGCTGTGGGAGTGACGTCGCCTTCCACCTGAACCCACGTTTTGATCAAAACACTGTGGTCCGAAACACTCAGATCCAGGGCCGCTGGGGGGCAGAGGAGCGAAGCCTGCCCTTCACTATGCCCTTCAGACAAGGCCAGGGCTTCCTGGTAAGATGCCGCAGCCTGGAGTTTGGGCAGCTCACTGGGTACAAGGGGACAAAGAGTGAGGGGCTCTGGGGGTACCCTGAATGGGGAGGGGGTAATGCCTGTGGTAGGAGGGCTGGGCCCAGAGGAGAGAGTGTGCAGCAAACCACTGATATTTTGTGGTTGCTGTACCCACTGTGGCAAATATTAACATCTGCCTTTTTATAGATCAGGGAACACAATGACAGGAGGTTACTTGCCAGAGGTCACATGGCCCATTCCTATCAGTCTACACCCAAGAATGAGGTGCGGTCTCGTATCCCCTTATTCACGCAGCAGGCGTTTATCAACTCTGAGTGGTCCCACAAGGGGCAGCAAGTGCCCCGTGAGCAGGGATGCAGCCAGGGAGCAGAGAGGCAAGGCCCTACCCCTGGGGCCGCAATCTAGGCGGGCAGGAGCAAGGAGACCGAGGCATGAGGCCATCAGCACGGAAAGGACAGGTGCTGAGCAGAAAGGCAACCAGGGCCTGGGGCGGAGGGAGCCCCACAGCTGGGGCCAGTGTGCAGAGCAGGGAGGGGCCTGTCCAGAGCTGCACTGCAAGGTGGAGAGCGAGGGTGAAGAGGTGTGGGCGAGGCTGCAGCTGGTCAGCCCAGCGGGCCTTCTCCACCCTGACTGCAGGCTCAGGTCCCCCACAGAGCTCACGAAAGGTCCATGAAGCTGTGGCAAACGCCTGTAATCCCGGCACTCTAGGAGGCTGAGGCGGGAGGATGACACACTTGAGACCAGCCCGGGCAATTTAGCTATTTAGTGAAATGCTGTCCTAAAGTAAAATAAAAAATAAAACAACAACAACAATAACAAAGCAGGGAGGTTGTGACTCAATGTAATAATGGTCTTGGGTTCAATCTGAAGAAAGAGAGAGAGAGGAAGAAGAAAGAGAGAAAAGAAGGAGGGTGCCTGGGTCTCACCCACCCACTGAGCATGGAGCTAGTCAGCCTAGACACCCACTGAGGCGTGAGAGAAGCCCTAAGTGACTGTGCTCTGAGGTGAGCCGGAGATGACCGGTGTCTGAAGGGAGCTCGGCTTTTCCTACAGTGAGAAGCCTCTGGGGAGCAGCCGCAGGGAGCTGTACCTTAGATTTAGAGCAGCTGTGTGGCCTCGGGATGTGACTTAACTACTTTGTGCCTCCATTTCTCATGTACACATAGAGCTAAGAATATGGTGATCTCAGAGGGCCGTGGGACCGGGGTAGTCTGTGAGGACAGTGCCCAGCGCACGAGTGTGTGCACGTGTGACCACTGCCGTTTGTGACCTCACTGCCTCCTGGAGAAGTCCTGGGCTGCACAGGACGAGTCAGGAGGCTGCTGCTGCAGAGTCCAGGCGTGGACATGGGGGACACAGGTGGCACCAGGTGGTGGCCTGAGGATCACCGGGAGGACTCAGGGTGGGGCAGAAAAGGCTTGGCAGAGGCGGCTGGATCCTGAGTTGCTGGGCAGTTGTCACATGCGAGAGATGCAGGCTGGGAGCCCCGACCCAGGCTGGGAAAGGCTAAAGTACGGGGAGCAGAGCACCGGGGGGTGTAGGGAGGAGCAGGTCATTCAGGGCGGGCGAGGGGCTTGTGGGGTAGAGGAGGGAGGCGGGGAAGGAGGAGCCCCGAGCCTACAGTGAAGGCTGAGGACTCTGTACTGACAGCAAATGACAGGGCCTCTCTATCCAGGTGGGGATCATATGCGAAGGTCACTGCTACAGGGTGACCGTGGACGGCCAACACCTCCTGGAATACGCCCACCGCCTGAAGGACCTGAGGGCCGTCAATAACCTGGAAGTGGCTGGTGACATCCAGCTGACCCATGTGCAGGCTTAGGTGGGCTCTGCGAGCTGGCAAAGGTCTGGGTGCGCTACTCTGTCTCCTCCCCCCTCCGCTTCCCAGAGGGGCCCCAACGTCCTGAGCCCCGACTTCTCAGCAGATGGCGCCGAGGCGTGCGCTGCAGGGGAACCACCAGGTCCACACCTCCAGGCAGAGAATGGGGGTCCCGAGCCTGCTGAGCCCCCAGCCCCGTCCCACACAACCTGCGGCTCTTAACCACCTTCCCACGCTCCCTGCAGCCACTCAGAGAGCCCGAGCCACAGCTGTGCACTCCAGGGATGAGGCGACCTCCACGGCACCCCCATTCCCGTGACCTTTACCCTCTCCCTCGGCTTTGCACCCTGCTGCAACACTGCCCCCTCTGGGGAGGCCGCCCTGGGGACATCCTGCTGACTTCCACCGCCCTTCTCTTCCGCCCTTAAAAGAAGGAAATAAAATGCTGTTGGCCCACACTTGTGGGATGGCTGCTTTACTGGTGTGTCTGGAGACATTTTGGAGTCTCTGGAACTAAGGGTCCTTGCTGAGGGGGAATAGGGAGAAACGGCCCTGGCTGCCTTTGGGCTGGGGGTCCTGACATCCACACCTACTCCCAGCGGGTTCCTCACAAAGCCCACGAGGGCACTGGGGAAAGTAGCTGGGGCTCAGACTTCCTGGGCAGGGGATCTTTGGTATCTTGGTAGCTGGGTGAATCTAGGAAATATCTCCATGTGGCTGAGGGGGGAGAAGGCAGGGACAGAGCCTGTGGTGGCTGTCAGAGGCAGGAAGCCAGATGCCCTTGCCAAGTGGGAGGGGAGGCAGGTGGGGTACCTGGCATGAGGGATGGGTGTGCAAGAGCTGAGTGCCTCGGTACCAGGGATCTGCCGGCAAAGGAAGCCCAGCTGTGTGTCCAGTTACTGTTTCTAACAAGAATTTGGACCCTCAGAAACCAAAGTGGGTCTCAGAGTGTGGTCCTCGGTCAGGCAGCAGCATCACTGGAGAACTGATTCGCGCAGCAGGCCCCATCTCAGACCCACTGACTGGGAATCTGCATTTTAATCAGATCCCCGGGTGTGTGTGTGTGTGTCTGTGTGTGTGTGGTGTGGCTCTGGTCTAGGTGTCTTGGCCACACCCTTCAGACTCCTTGCTCCTGGTGGTCAGGGATCAGAGCTTTTTGGGATGACTGGGAGTCGGCAAGCCCCCTCTCCTGTCACCCCATCTGAGCAGCCACTGCCAGGAGTGGAAGGAGGGACAGGAGGGAGAAGCAGGGAGGGAGCCCATGAGGCAGGGTCAGCCTTGGTCCCAGGGCCAGTCGCCCCATGGGAGTCTCTTCCTTGGTTTAAGCAGAAGAGGTGGCTCTGTCTCGTAGGCAGCCCCGCTGACTGGCCGAACTCCCAGAAGACCCCTCGTATCAGGGACAGGGATGCAAGTGCCCTTCTCCCCACCTCACCCTCCTCCTACAGGAGGCTGTGCCTCCTTTTCCCAGGTGTCAAATCACCACTGGCTGAAGGGAACATGGCAGCAGAGCAAAAATCGTGTATGACAAGATGGAGAGCAAGGCCTTCACTAAAGAGCTGGCAGGGCACCCCCAGCAGGGCACCCCCTGCCCTGCCCTTCCTCTGCTCCCCTTCCGCACTGTCTTTAGAGAAGCTGCCCCAAGTCATTTCAGTGAAGAACTTATGGGCTGGCTGGTACCATCCTTGGGGGGACCTTTGTCCTGGTGGTGGCACAGCCCCGACCCTTCTATACAAATTGGGGTGTTCTCCCTACAAAACAGCAGTGCACACACATTGAAGGTGGTTAAAAGAAAATGAATTTCATATAAATATTTATTTCAAGAAGTCAGAAAAGGAAGGCTCAAGTGGCTCTTAGGAGCAGATGGATTTTTTTTTTTTTTTTTTTTTTAATACAGAAGCATAAATACTATACACGGGGCAACCAAATACAATGTGTTGCTAGCGCCCCCCGGTGGCCACTCAAAGTGACGCCATCAGAAGAAGGTTTCATCTTCCTGTTACCCACTGGTCAGGCCTGACACGCCAGATTCATCTCCAAGGGGCCAGGAAGATTGGGCTTCAGGCACAGAGGTGGCTCTGACCAGTCCAGGACGTTACTTGGTATTAGGTCAAGTAAAGGGCTCGAGAGGGGGGAGCTGAGGAGCTAAGATGTAAGGCTGGCTGTGGTCACTTCCCCACCTCCTGAGGCCCGGTGAGGCCTGACTGGAGAGGCAGTCCTCACACTCAGCGACAGCAGCTTTAATGTCTCTGTAGGTCGTCAGAGCTTGATGTCGCCAGGCGGCCGCTCTGCCCGGTCCTTCTTCACCTCGTAAGGAAAGACAGCACCAAAGATGTCTTCATGATAGCGCTTCTGGCTCTGTAAGGAGAAACAGGACAAGTGTTGGCTCTGCAGGTCCAGCCGCCCCTCAGTCACCAGGTTCAGCTTGGAACAAGGCCCTGGGGCTGCCCAACTTCTCCATTACATGGACTTCATGAGCCCTGTGCAGACTGACGGTCGTGATGAGATGACGCCCAGTTTGGGCTCCTAGACCAACCCCTGTGAGCGCAAGCATTCCACTTCCTCTTGACAGTGCCCACAGGATGTTCTAGAAAATGTGAGCTTTTTTTTTTTTTTTTTTTTTTTTTTTTTTTTTTTTTTTTTTTTTTTTTTTTTTTTTAATGGGGGTTAAACCCAGGGCCCACTGAATTATATTTTTCAGCCCTTTTATTTTTCATTTCGAGACAGCATCTTTCTGGTTGCCCAGGCTGACCTGGAACTTCCAATCCTCCTGTCGTAGCCCCTGCGGTGCAGGCATGTTCCCCTCTGCGTATGGCTTCCCCCTCCCAGAATGAAGTCATGATACACAGGACTGTGTTAAAAACCCTAAGAAGTCTTATAGTAAAGCAGTGTGTTTACTTTTGGTAAACTGAGCGGGTTCCAAACTATCTGACCTTAGAATACATTTTGGGAAATGCCTGTGATCTCCTTGCCTTTCTTCATATATGAATAACACCTACCCCAGGGCCTTTGTACATGTTCTTCCCTCCAGAAGAACCCAGAACAATATGTAATGGGCTTCCTTATTGTTTCAGATGTCACCTTCCAGGGACATCTTCCCTGGCTGCCTTATTTAAAATAGTACTCCTAAACTCCACCTCAACAGCTTCCCTACTTAATTCTTCTCTGAAGCACTACACATTTTATATGTTTTGCTTTATTTGTCAACCCCACTAGACTATAAAGTCGAGCCAGACAGGAATTTTTGCCTGCTCTGTTTGCTCTATGCCCACCACACAGCGGATACTCAATAAATATGATGAACATGTGACTGTGTCCCAGGGAAAGTACAAAGTGGTGAGCACAGACCTTGGAACCAGAGAGGGACAAGGTGCGAGGTTCACATGCTACTACTGTGGGCCTCCAGGGCCACTCTCTCCTGAAAACTTGGGGGTGACAAGAAGGACAGAAGGAAATGCCACATGAAATCCTTGGCCAGCACCTGGCCCAGTGCAGGCCCTCGACAGATGCTATGGCTGTCAATATTACATAAGTGGGGTCCTTCCTTCGGGGGCTGAGAGCGAGCAGACAGATACCTGGGTGTAAACACGTGTCCACCCCACATGAGGCTGAGAGGGGACACGTTCCCGTCCCTGGTGTTTCTAGCTCTGCTCTGGCTGCAGATGTGGGGAGGGGGGCCGGGGGAGGCGGAGGAGGCTGACAAGGGCACTCCTGCTCCCACCACACAGCCAGGAAAACAGAACATGATGCCATGACTTCTCGGAGCCCTTCCAGCCACCTTGGGCTCTTCCGGGGTCCAGGGCTGTCCCGGATGCTCCTGGTGCTGCCTTCTGTCCTGGCTCTGTGGCCTGGGCCCTGTCATGCACCCTAAGCCCACAGACCAGCTACCGTACCTTGAGCTGGAAGAAGTAGTCCTCAACCTGCTCCTCGTTCAAGTTCAGCTTGGCAGCCAGCAGCTGCTTCAGAACGTCGGCCACGTCCCGGGCCACGAGCACGCTCCCACAGACGTACAAGTGGCCCGGCTCCTCGTGGAGCACACGGAGCACCTCTCCAGCCAGCTGCTGCCGCAGGACGTCTTGAACGTAGACCTGAAAGCAGAAGAGAGGGTGGGTCCGGGCCTGGGCTGCTGGGAGCGAAGCTCACAGCCAGGTCTCATGGGAAGGAGAGGAGGGGTTGCAGGTCCTCCCAATTAAGACCTCGGCTCAGGATGAGTAGGGGCACTGCCAGCCGCCCAAGCCAGGGGTACCCAGATTTTCTGTGAATTCACCACACTTCAAAGAGGCATCCACAGGCTGGGGATTTAGCTCACTGGTGCCACTGCCTGCTGAGTTTGATCCCCGGTACCAGAAAAAAAATGCAAAGAGGTATCTGCCAAGCCAGTTCCCTCACCCAGAGCACTAGGGCCTGCCCATATACACCCCAGAAAAGGAACCTTCCAGTTCAGTGTCCACAGAGCCCAGTCAAGATTCAGTGCAGGGGGACAGATCCCCAGGTTCCTGGTTACACAGAAGGCCCCAGAGACCACCAGGAACTCTGCTCTTGTTCTAAACAAATGCTCAGTGGCCCCAGGGTTGGAGAGATGCCTGCAGGGACAAGTTCATGAGGACCCAACCAAAACTCTATCCCCAGGCCCAGACTCCAGGGGCAAAATGCCCCTGAGGACACCAGGGCCCGTCTGAAGCCTTGCTGGGCCTGAGCAAAAGGCCAGCCTGGGCCACCTTTCCTGGGGCATTCATGTGCTAGGTGGGCTGCCAGGGACACCCAGGGGCTGGGCTCTGGCGATTAACCCACAGTGTGACAGTTCTAACCCTCTGGGGGCCTGTCTCTACTCCTGCAATAGAGGATACGATGCTCTTCACAGCACCACGCTGGAGGGCATGTATCATGTCCGTCTCAGAGCCAAGGAGATGCAGGCTCAGGAGTGAGGGCTCCGGGGAATCCTCACAGCGCATGCTCATGTACCACGCACGGTGCGGCTGCCTTACCTTGGGCTTCCCAGGCAGCCGAGAGTAGGCTGTGTGCACCTCATGCAGCACCCTCTTCTGGGCCATCTCCAGCATCTCCTCCTTATAGATGTGGTCCTCTTCTGGGTGGCGACACCCGAACACCAAGGTCATTCGGCCACCTTGAACCCCTGCAAGAACCACCAGGATGCAGTTGCCAGGATCGCCACCAGAGGGCAAGCGTGGCTCTAGAGGGATCAACATGAATTCTCCCTTGAGCTGGGCAAGTGTGTCCATGTCTGGGGTTCTCCCCATTTCACAGATGAGGAAACCAGAACGCTGGGGCCCAGGGCATTCAGATCCCTTTCCCATAGTCGTATTACTGAAAGTGAAGACACAGGATTCCACCCAGCTCATCACAGGTCAAAAGTGGAACTTTTCCTATTATCTCCTGGGAAGAAATGCCCAGCCCACCTGAAACCCTCATCCCACCCAGGAACCTTCACATCAGCCTTATATTCTCCTCTTTTGTCCTACTTTATCTTTTTTTTTTTTTTTGCAGTGTGAGTTATGCCAATTGGAAAGCAACAGAGATAATTATCAAGCTCCTTCATTCAGTAATACCATTCCTGTTCCAACACGTGGCTCTTTTTTGTTGATCACTCTGTTTTTTATTTTATTTTTGCCTTTTGAGACATCACACCTGTACATATTTATGGAGTGCCGTGTGACATTTCCGTGCGTATGTACAATGCATAAGGACTAAGCCAGGGTAATCAGTATCTCCCCTTCTCACCGCAAGCTGTACCTTTGTGCTTGGAGTTGTGGAGCTGCTGCCGCCAGAAACTTCGGAAGGGGGCGATGCCCGTGCCGGGCCCAATGAGGATGCAAGGGTGGGAGGGGTCCTTGGGGAGCTGGAAGCTGCTGACCCTGAAGGGGACAGGAGAGAGGCCCCGGTCCTCAGACGCCCTGGGCCACACACAGGATGCGGGTAGGGGAGATGGGCCCGGGATGGCGTGGTCTTGTGGGGTGGAGGAGAACGAGCAGCTCAAGGCTGAGCTCTGGGTCCTGTGGGTGGTGTCACCTGCCCTGCCCAGGTGCACCACCTCCCCACACCGCGCCCCACCACTGCAGCTGTCCCTATCCCTGCTAGAGACCAGGCCACACGCTGCGGCCAGGGGACCCAGCACCTTTGTGACGGGCCAGGGACCCAGAGGGCACTGAGCCCAGAACCCTTCCTTTCCCCCTGGAACCTCCAAGCCAGTGGTCCTCAGGAGTGGAGAGGGTGCTTACCTCCGCATGAAGCAGGGCACTGGGTCCTGGGGCTTCAGGCTGCTGAGCCACGTGCTGCACACGCCATGGTGCAGGGGACCCCGGCCATCTGCAAGGACAGCACAGACCTGAGCAACATGTGGCCATGCCGGCTGCTCCTCTGCCACCAGTGATCCCGCTGACTGCCCTGTCAGGCCCTCTCCAGGATGAATGAGGGGCTGCATGTGCCCTGGCTCGCAGGTCTACTCTTGGCATGCCCAGAGCCAGGAGGCTGAAAGGGAACGCCTCGTCTCAGAGAGGGAAAGTGAGTCAAACAAGGTCACTCGGGCAGTGGGGAGTCAGGCTCCCTGGCTCTCACTCTACTGATTCTTTCAGGAGTTCCTCCAGGTGCCTCCCAGGCCCCCGGCTCTGATGAGCGTCCTCACAAAGGTGGCCCTTCCTGGCAGGAGTGCTGGGGGGAGAAGGGCTCCCCCGACACTCCAGCTGCTCTGACTTCTCCATCTTCCCAGCAGCCCCTCCTGGGCTGGTGGAAACCCTGGCTTCCTCAGACACATTCCCTTCACCACGGCCCAACATGTACAGGAGGCCTCCTGTGACTTGAGAAGCCCCGTGGGCTTTGCTCTGCACAGACTCCGGCTCTCTCAGGACAGGGCATGCCTTCCTCTTTCCCTGGTCCCAAGGCCACACTAGGACTGTGCGGGAGTTCTCTAGTGAGAGGTCAGAGGATGCGGAGGCACGGCCAGCTCCCAGCTTCACCAACCCAGACAATGCTCAGAGGCCAGGCCAGGGCAGGGGCCCCGCTTCGGACACTTGGACAAAAGACCGGACCTCTAAGTCTATGGTGCTTCTAGCCACTTACATAGCGATAATCACCTAGTTATTTCTATGCCTCTCTTCATCGGCCCACTGGAAGCCCCAGGAGGGCAGGGGCTGCTTTATACCCTCCACAGTGCCCAGCACAGACCCAAGCCACCGGCACGCAGGTGGAGCGAGCAAGGGACTCTCGGTGTGGAACACCCTGCCTGCGGGCTGGACATCAGAGGACTAAGCCAGGCTCCTCTAAGTGTTGGGAGCTTTCCACAGGGATCTCATTAAATTGTTCCAAACACAGGAGGCCAGGAGTGTGGTTGGAAACTTGGAATCAGCAGCTAAGCCCCATGGGTTTGTACCTCAGTTTTCCTAACTGTGACTTTGAACAAGTGGCTTAACCTCTCTGTGCCTGCATGTCCCTCCCCAGTAAAAGGCACACAGAGCCCATCTCACACGGTTGGCCTAGCACCCGCTTTGCCGTACTCTCTCCTGCCCACCTCCTAGTGTTACTCAGCTCCGTGGGGTATGTCAGTCACCGCTCCCGTGTGACGGACGAGGCCCAGGGATGTGGGACAGCTGCCCTGCAGTAATGGAGCTGGACCGTTCCAGAGCCTCTGCCCCGCCTCACCTTGGGTGCGGTAGGCAACCACAGCCACCGTGAGGTGCACCTCGGCAGGAGTGTGGTCCAGACAGGAGCTGATGGAGTAGTAGCGGGGCTTCAGAATGGGAAGCTGGGAGAGCAGGAAGGCCGCAGGCACCCGCAGCGACGGGAACTCCTCCAGCACCTCCAGAAACGTGGGGCTGCCAGTGAACTTCCATTTGTTGTACTCTGAGGGCTGAAAGCCAAGGGCGGCGTGAGGACTCAGGGTGCCTGCATGGCGGGGGAGGCAGAGACAACCCAGTGTCCACTGGCTCAGAAAACGGACGCGGCGGGCGCTGTCCAGGGTACTGAGGCTGCCAAGCTGGAGAGGGAGGAGCGGACTTTGGGCCTGATGGGCCTGCTGTGGGTGCCTCAAACAGGATCAACTCTACCATAATCGAATGTGAGGCACAGCTTTGGAACCAGTCGGATCCGAGCTCCGGTCTTGGCTGGATGTCCTTCGCGGCTGTGCAATCCTGTCCTGACTACTGAACTGGTGAAGCCAGGATAGCATCGCCTCCCACGTGGGGTTGTTATGAGAATTAAATGAGGAAACGTGTGTCAAGTTAGTACAGTGCTGCCACGAAATAACAGTAGTGAGATGGCTGGGGATGGAGATGCCTAGTGGTAATGATGATGGCTCTAATGATGGTCAATGCCTTGTGCAAAGACATGGGCCAGAAAGCTGCAGGTGGCTTAATGCATTCTCATTAAATGATTAATCTCACTATCCATCTGTCGCCGCATCCATTTATCCATTCACCCACACCATCTGTCTTCCAGTGCCGCTCTGTCTAGCACTCAGGAAGACAAACACAGACAAGACCTGGTAGGCCCCCCTTTCTAGCTAACCTCTAAGGATGTATACTTCGGCTGTGCCCTGTTGACACTCAGAAAAATTCTGTTCACTCAACACAGTTCTGCCCTCGAGAACGGGGCAGCAGCTGGTGCCTGGTTCCCAAAGTCTTCCTTTCAGATCCTCTCAGAGGTTAAAACTGACCTCTGGGCTCTGGCTCCTCTCACTCTGTGAACTGCCCCTGCCTCACCCACCAGCCTGGACTCTCACCTGGCTCAACGTCTCCAGCCTCTGTCTCTCAGCCTGTTTCGTGGCCAGCCGGGCCAACTTCTGGAGCTGCAGCTGGGTTGGGGGGGTGGTGATATCCAGGAAGTAGGTGAGGGCCTGGCTAAGTGAGCAGGGCGGCAGCCTCTTGTCCTTGACCCAGTAGCTCCCTGCACAGGGAGGGAAGGAGTCAGGATGGAATGAAGGAAAAGCTTTGGGCTTCTCAGAGGCTGATGGGGCCTCAAGGGAAGATTGTTCTTCTCTTCCTGGGGTAAGGGAGAGGAGACACTGAGGTCCCGGCTCCAAGGAAAGCAAAAGGCAGGAACAACAGCACTTCGGTGGGCAACCAAGCAGACACGAGCCTGACAACCTAACCGTGTCCCTCTCTGGCAAGCAAGACACTGCAGATGAACTACAGACTCCTAATGACTAAGTCCACTGAAGACTTTTATACACCCTAGGGCCAGTTGTCCACTTAGAGAAAAGCCTGGGACGACAATCCCTTGTGGGGCTGTTCCAGGAGTTGTCAGGGGAGCAGATCAGCCCAAAGTGGGGCAGCAGCCTCAAGCAGTCTCAAGAGGCAACAAGCAGGGCAGTCACAGCATGGACCTTGGGGCCAGAAGACCTGGGCTCAAGCTCTGGGTCCACATATCCTGCCGGGTGACTGAACCCTGTGGCCTTCGCTCCTTCCCTGAGAAATGGCTATGATGATACAGCCTATGTGAGCACCTAAAGTGTGTGAAGAGTTGGTGCGGTGCCCGGTACGTGGGTGCTCAATCAGTGCTGGGTAAGGGTATTATTATTACGTTATTGCATCTGGACCAAAAGCCTGATGAACCTTATCTGTGTCCCTATAGTCACGAGGACACCTCTCTAACTTTCCCAAGTTTCAGGCTCTCTCATGTTCTCCTGATTTTGTGGGGAGCATTGCCAGGCTTTGCTTCTCTGACTCCCACCTTCCCATCTTGGCCTCTATTTAGGAGACACAGTCATCAGCAGTGTCACTGTCCCTGAGGAAACTATGGCCAAGGGGCTGTTCCCATGGCTTGGGATGGGGAAGTTGGATCAGGGCAGTACGGGCCCAGCCCTCGGTAGGACGAGGCATGGCAAGGGGTGCCAGCCCTGTGGCTGCACTCCTGTGCCACAGGCTCACCGCTGTCATCCAGGGCCTCAAGGCGCACAGTGTGGTGGGGTCCCAGGCTGTCCACCACCCGCTCCAAAATGCCTCGGACCAGGGCTGGCTGGTTGCAAGGGAAAACCCCAAGGTGGTCCCCGGGCAGGTAGGCCAGGCCTCGGCTGTCCTCGCAGGAGAGTTCCACCAGGAGGGTGGTGCGGCTGCGGAAGGAAGAAGCCCTTGGTGACCACCAGGATTTCCTCCAAGCTTCTGGATGGACGGACCACCTTCCCCAGGAAATGTGCCCTCCTGTCATCTTCCTGGCCGGTTCCTTGAGCGTGGGTCACCAGCCTGAGCTGGGGATAAGGCATGTCCTCAAGTGAGGACACTCAGCCCTGCAGCTTCCCCTCAGGGAGAAGGTGGGCCACATCCCTACCCGGTAGCCCTCTGAGCCACCGAGGGCCTGGCCCTGGACTGTGTGAAGAAAGCATCACACTCAGAAATACATGGACATTGGAAAAACCTTTCCTTGTCTCCGGTGCAAGTCCTGTTCTTATTTGGACAAAGGCCAGTTTCTCTAGCAAATGGAGAGAGCACAACACAGATAAATAAAACCTCTAGATGATCCACAGCATTTGCCTCCCTGGCTGGGAAATGTCCTTCCCTGCCAAAGCTTTTCGTGAAAGCTCTTAAGACTCAATTGCTCCAAGTCTCCTTGGCCTCTCCTTTCAATGAGAATTCTCCACGGAGTAGAGCAGAAGCGAAGCAGATGCCAGTTTCTGAGCTGGACAACCGGAGGGTCAAGTGGGACCTCACAGGGGCCGTGGGGCCGCAGATGAGCGAGTCCTACGGGCGCATCATTGCGAATCGGGATACTTCTGTCCCTGCAAGACTGACTTGCCCTGGTCTTTTCGTTCATTACAATAAAATCTTGGATTTGTTAAAAATCAGTCCTTGGTGATGCACTTTCTCAGAGCTCTGCACTCCAGCTCACCTGGATTTTGGACTCTGAAGATTCTGCTGAGACTTGAGCCGCAAAGTGAACACATCCTTGGCATGCATCCTACTGAGGGCTGTGGAGACAGAGACAGGGAGATGGCAAGGGGGCCCTGAGCACCAGTAGGGGAGCCCCACATGTCTGAGTCCATTATTCCTGCATACTCTCCATGGGTGCCCCGCTGTCATGGTTGCTGGTTGGGGTTTTCTTTTCCTTCCTTTTTCCCCCGTTTCTGAATCATAAATAAAGAATCTTGGTCCAGAGCTTGGTGTACTGGTGCCTGCCTGAAATCCCAGCACTCGGGAGGCTGAGGCAAGAAGATCAAAAGTTCAAGGCCAGCCTGGGCTACATGAAGAGTTGAGCTATATAATGAAACTCTATCTCCGGAAAGAAAAACAAAAAAGAGCTCTGGCCTGATGGAAGATGATTGCGCTACTGCTAGGTGTCAGGAAATAGATGCCAGAGTAGAGAAAGGCCCAGAACGGCTAGGGATCCACAGGCGAGCACACTTAAAGCTGAGCATGTCCTACATGTGCAGAAACCCGCAGGGCTTCTGTCCTCAGGGAATAGGGCACAGCATGGGTGTCGGTGCAGCGCTGAGTCACCGACTGCAGCCTGCAGCTGCTTCTGTGAAGCCTCTTCATAACACCTGGCTGCCTTCAGGAGGCTGGGCCCAGATCCCAATTTGGCCATGCACTACAGCCCTCTTTCCTTCCTTGAACTTCAATTTCCCCATCTCTCTTACAGGCTGAGAGGCTGGGGTCAGCCCACATAGGCAAAGAGCCCGGCACGGTCCCTGGAGCAGTCAGCCCTCTGCTGGCACTGGCTCCCTCCTCCCTGCACCCCAACCCAGCCTCCGTGAACTGGCCTCCCTCAGAGCCAGAGTCTTATTTCCAACAGGCCCTGCAATGCATCGAGACAGAGAGGTGCCAGCAGCACGTGCCCCTCTCCAGCCAGTTGCCTCTGTTCACAGGGCCCTGATGCTCCTCTTGACTGTGAGCTCGTGGCTCAGAGACGCAAACCCAGGCAGACAGAAGGGCAAACGGAGAAGTGGGTACCTTTGTTGAGATCCAAAGGTTGCAAGTCCTGCACCAGCCTGTAGTGGTGCGGCTCCCAGGTCACAGTGGATGTGTAGAGCTTGGGGATCTGGATGTGATGTTTGCCTCGAACATCAAAAGCCACACAGGCTGCCTGGAGGATGCAGGGGCTGGTGTTCAGGGCCTCTTCATCATCACCACTAAACTCACCAACTTCAGACCCCGGCCCTGAACAACCGTAGGGCTGGGTGCTTTGTGGATGCCCAAGCATGCGGTGATGGGGCCGGTGCCCAAGCTCAGCACGTGGCACATACTGCTATTATGAATACGGATACTGACAACAACTTATTTTACCTTCTCACCCACATGGCAAGGGAGGTGTGACTGCTCTCCTCTCCTGATACAGAATAAGACAGAGGAAGCCCCAGTTTTGGAACCATGTTCACTGGACTCAAGTTGCTGCCCCTGTCACTGAGCAAAATGCTTTGCTTCCGTCCTGAATTCCTGAGTTAGCAAGGTTGAGACCCAGGCAACACACTGATGCAAAGTGCTCAGCTGTGTGGTCCCCGTCCCCAGCTCTCCATGGCTGCGAGGCCAGTGAGACATGGTGGTAAGAGGTGACTGATACCAGTGGGAAAAAATCTTGAGCCACAACATTGAGCCAGGGCAGGGAGGTGTCTCTGCGGCCTTCTCCCACTGAAGTGACTATGTGTATTGGGGAGAGCAGTTTTGATCTGAGCCTTCAGGCCTACAGCCCTGGCCTGCACCTGGGATGGTACCCACAGACCTGGGCAGAGGTCACGCTGGCACAGACATCCTGGGCATGAGTACACCCCATCATCTGTGCTATGGGCCACTCTGGCTGGAAACTGACCTTGAAGGTTTGCACGGCCCAGGTGCGGAAGGCACCCTCCTGCCCTCCGAGCTCGTCCCCTTCCCCCACTGGGGTGAGCTGAGAGGCTCCCAGCTGGGACAACTTCAGGTCAACGTCATGAGCAAAGGCACAGAAGCGAGGGTACATGCTGGAGCCAAGGCCGAACACAGCATACCTATGGAGGAGGGCACACACAGAGACTCGCAGCTAGCCAGCCTCACACCACCCCACACCTGCCGGGCCACACCCCGGTCCTCCTTGGCCCCCAGCCCTCGCCACCACCAACCCCCATGACTAATGCGGCTAGGAGAGGGGCTTGGGCTCCTGTGGCTCAATTCTCAATACATGCAGGGGATAAGCCTCTGCCCGGGCCCCTCTTCTGTGCCTGGATATCTTCGAGAGTCCTGTACAGCAGATCCCACCCCCACGCCCAGATTCAGCGGCGGGTGTGTGTGGAGGGCAGCGGGGGCTACCTGAAGGTGTTGGTGAGCTTTTTCAGCATGAAGAGGGATTTCTTCAGTGTCTAAAAAGAGAAGGAGTCACAGAGTTCTCAGGCCAGGATTTATAAATGCACTTCTTCCTCCTTCCCGGTGGCCCATTTAAACACTGGCCACATCCAGTTTGAGCAGCCTCAGGTCTGCAGCGAGGGCTGGTTTACAGGTGGTGCCACATGGCCGGGGCTCAGCCGATGAGTTCAGCTGGTCTCTCAAGCCAGCTGAACCCGAGGAACCCATGGGGTTCTTCTCCTCAGGGGGCCCTTACCAGCCTGGCCTCCCACCTTTCCAGCCCTGGGAGAGCCAGGCCTGTCTTATAGCAAAGCTCCCCCAAAGTATCTCCTGTTTGGAACCTGCTAAGAACAAGAATTGGTCTCCTATTGTCTAGAATAACCCTGATTTTCTAAGAACCCAAGATAGCTTTCAGTGCTACACAATCCAGCAGAGATAGCACCAAGTCGTACTGTGGGAAACTACTCTCCTTTTGGTCATTTGTTTTTTGGTTATTTCCCTTTTTATTACATTATCATCCTTCTGAGCTCAAGAGAGGTCGTCTCAGTTCGGTGCTAACGGAGTCTCAGCACTTCTCCTGTACTTGCCTGTTAATCTTTTTTAAAAGCCAGCTAGAGCAGATAGATGCAATGGCTAAAATCCAATAGCTTCATTTGGAGTTCACTAAATTTACTTTTTTGCTGGCTTTCCCTGTATGAGAGTGATACAAGTGGTCTTGAAATTTTTTTTTTCTATTTAAAAAAGGGAGATCAATTCCCAGAAATAGATTGTGTCACAGAAAAGGTGACACAGGTTAGAGCCAGTGTGACCTGTGCTCGCTGCCCTAAATGCCCTCTTGAAGTCACACTGAATCCCTGCGCCCTCCCAGGCCCCTGCAGCCAGTCCTCGCCCGGCACTTGCCTCCCCGTTGCCAGGGCAGTCTCCGTTCCCGAAAGTGCTGGTCACCACCAACAGCAGCCGCTCCTCCTCCAACCTGCCCAGCCTATATTCGTCCATGCGGAGAACCTGGGGGTGACAGCGAGGTGTCTGTCAGCTCCTGCCTGGGGCCTCCACACCTGGCCCAGACACCCACCCAGCTGACCGGGTACCTTGGGGTTGAAGGCGCGGCTGAACAAGGCCCCCAGGTCCTGGGCCAGCGCTTCTGATTTTCCCGTCTCCGTGGCAAAGAGGATTGTGACTCTGACTCGGGATGCCATCATCTTGCGCATCAGCACCGAGGCAAAGAGCACAGCTCTGTGGGGACAGAGACAGATCCTGTGTGCTGTGAGCTTCCAGAGAGACTCAGCGGGGCCGGGAGAACGGAAGGCGGACAACATCTGAAGTGGGCGGGGTGAGGAAAACGCAACCTACACTCCTCCATAGCTGTCCGCCCTGAGCGGTGGCCCTCATCCTGTCCGCACCCTTGGGAAAAGGGAGGAGGAGGAGGAGGAGGAGTGGGACAGTAGCTGCAGGTGGCCTAGGAATTGGGATCTAGAGCTCTGGGAGCCAAAGTCCACAAAGGAGATTTTGTCTCTGGGTTCTCTGCCCACACGGCCCGTGGATGGAGGCTGAGGGGAAGGAAGGGTCATGGTGAGGACAGCAGTGCCGGCCACTCCACTTACCTCCCCAGGACCCTGAACGGGATCTCTCGTCTCCTGGGTCTCCGCTTCTCATCCTGCCACACGTGGGTCTTCCAGGCGTCCACCTACAGCACAGGAGACGTGATGCACCACGCACCTCGTGGGGGCCCCACAAGAGAGGGCCCAGAGCTGCATCTCACTGCCGGGGCCCGACCCCCCACGGCCTGGTAGGCACTTGCCCCTTGCTCCTATTCGCCCTCCTGGTAGCAAGAGGCCGGCTTCTCTCTTGCTTTTAGTCCCTTATCACCAGGCAGACTGCGTAACATACGGTCTTCACCGGGACACCTTTGAGAGGCCGGTGCCACAACAGGCATAAGCTGTCGTGGGTACAACAAGGGCCATCACCACCGGACCCCCTGCCTGGACAGCGAGGAAGCCCTTGCCAGATCTAACACAAGTCCTCTCTGAGAAAATGTGAACTGTTACACAGCAGCTCACGTGGCAAGGGGCACATTCTCCTGCCACGGAGTTCATGGCCATCCTTTTTAGAGATGAGAAAACCAGTGCTCAGAGAGGTGACCCCATCCACATGGTACAGTCAGTAAACTGTAGAACCAGCAGCTTCAGATACACCATTATTCCAAGGGACAGTTTGCCAGGTCTCCCAGGAAGTGGTGTATGGACAGACAACAGGCCACAAAAGGCACACTGAGAGGCACTTCCTTCAGTCCCTCTCCACGGAAGGGGACAGGACTGTTTGGCCTCCTTGAAGGGAGCCTGAAAAGCACGAACAATATGCCCCTGTGTCCCCAGATTCCTCCTGTCTGCCCGCATAGGGGACATCTGCACACACACAGTCTCCATACCCGAGCTCCACAAGGGAGAGGGTAGGACGGGCCTCCCTTACCTGATAGTAGTAGAATGGGGACAGGATGTAGTTCAGCATCTCCTGGTGAAACACGGGGGTGATGCTCCCTGAAATCGGAGGGACCAGCCAAACCCAGTCAGCCGGGCAGCCCCCACGGGTCCGGTACTCGTTCTGCATGTGCTTCATGAAGGACTCTGCCGCAGAGTGGTGGTCCATGATGGTCACGTTCTGCTTCTAAATCAGAGGAAGGCAAGGGAGGAGTCGACACGGGGTGGGGTCAGCTGGCTGCGGAAATGCTTCCGAGGGAGCAAGGGAAGACTGGCCGTCTGCAAAGGATCAGTGACACCGCCTGGCCCATTCTCACCTGCTGAAACTATGTGCCCAAATAGAGGCACATTCCAGGGCCCAGGACATCATCGCAGCCACAGCGAGCCCAGATCCCATGTGGCCTCTGCCGGAGCCCCTGGGGGCGGTGTCCGGCTTCTCCCGCCCACCAATCTCCCCACGCTCCTAGTGAACAGCTCTACCTGGATGTGAATAGCTCAAACCGCAGCACTGTTTTGCAGGTAAAGCCACCCAGCCACGTGTTGGTGGGGAGTTCCAGGCAAAGAGGGAATGAGAAGCACCGCAGAGAGGGCGGAAGCACTGAGGTCATTCTTATGCAGGGGAAACAGATCACCCAAATCCTAAAATTAGAGGCCATGGGGTCTGGGCCCATCCAGAACGATATAAGGAAAGCAGCCGTGACTCCAAATGCCTGGGGCATCCCATTCAATCAGAGACATTTGTAGCACAGTAGTCCAAACTCTGGCCTCTCACTGGCCACGTGACCTCAAGCTATTAGTTCCTTAACCTTGCTGGGCCTCAGTTCCCTCACCTGTAAAATTGGAGTGTTAGCTCTTCCTACATTATGACGTTATTGAAAGGACGCAGGAGGTTGGTATAAGCAAAGCATTGTAAGTGCTCGATAAATATTAGCTGCTATTACTATTTCATCTGCTGGGCATTGCACAAGGCCCTGGCATAACAAGGGGAAAGACAGCGCCTTCTCTGCATTAGATTATTGTCTATCAGGGGAAGTGGAAGGGATCAGGCCTTGTCACGAGGCCCGGATGGAGACAAGCAGGTGCAGCTGAAGAAGGGTAGAGAGGGGGAACCTCCAGGGCACTCCTGGAGGAGGAGGCTGTATGAGTCAAGGCTGGAGAAGACCAGAGCAGTCAGTTGATGTTGGGCCTGTAAGTCTAGCCACGTCTTTAACAATTTTATAAACTTACTTCTCAACTTACTATGTATCTCAGGCTGGCTTCAAACTTGAGATCCTCCTGCCTCAGCCTCCCAAGTGCTGAACTGTCCTTGAATGCTTATAGGAGGTACTGTTATTATCCCCACTTTACAAATGAGGAAACAAGGCCAGGTCTTCTGAAGGTTATCTCGGAAGAGGTGACAAGGAAGTCCTGAGGCTCTCAGGCTGTGGAAGGACTTTGTCAGCAGTGGTCAGGAGATGGCAGAGACTGTGAATTCTCTGAGACACATCCCCATCCTGTCAGTGTCAGGCTGATGCTGAGAGTCCTTCGGAGCCCGGATGTGTGGTGTCTGCCAGCCCTTCCTGAGCTGGGCCAGCCCCAGGAGCTCCTCCTGTTCCGTCTTAGCTCTGAACTCCTACTTCATCAGTACCAGGCTGGATCTGCCTATGGTCTGACCCAGCCGTGGGGAACAATGGATGATCATACATACAGTACTGTGTTTACCACTCACATTCTTGGCCCCATCTTGGCACATGGCAAAGGTCCAAATGATCTTTGCTGACTGGATGAACGACTCTCTGCCCAGTGCTCTGATCTCTAGGGCACTTGTCAGCTTGGTGGAGATGGTCTGATCTCCTAAAGTGATATCTTCACACATCCTGAGCCTCCCTCCCTAAGGCCACAGAAGTATAGCAATAATGTAAATAGGAAAAGCAGATAGAGGAAGGGCTCAGACCCATCAAGAACCAGCCTGCTGCATGTGTGCAGAAGAGATGGACACCGCTTGTGCAGACACAGTCTTGCATGCATTCATATATCCAGCATGCATACATTTTAGCATCTGCCTGTGCCAGACACTCTACTAAGCCAGAGGTGCAGCAGCAAACATAAAAGACAAGATCGCTGCCTTGGGGAGCCCCGTGAGGCTTATATTCCAGTGGGAAAAACAAAACAACAAAGGCAGACAGAAGTAGATGTACTATATAATGCCAGAAACTGTATTGCGAAGTATTTTGAAGAAAACGCAGAATTAAAGAACTAACGGGGAGAGAGAGACAGGATGGTGATGAGGTGAGGGTTTTCTTTTACAAGGCATGGTCAGGGAGAACCTCTTTAAGGAGGAGACGGCTGAGACCTGCAAGAAGGTAAGGAGCCCATCGTGGGATGAGTCGTGGAAAAGAAGACTCTAGGTAGAGGGGGAAATAAGCACAAAGACCCTAAGGTGGGAATCCTTTTGGTGAAATTGAAAACCTGACAAGAATTTCAGCATGACCAAGCAGAGGAAGATAAAAGCCAGACTGGAACTACCAAAGGATGATGCAATGCCATGAGAGTGTGCGAAAGTTTTGCTGTAAAGAGCAGCAGATAAACCAAGCTCGTGCCTGGAGGAAGCTGGAGGATCGGGAAGAGTTGCTTGGCTAGCTGTTCTTTTATTTCCTTTAGATGGGAGCACACAGGCTGGGATGACCCCACGGAGAGGGAGACATGGTGAGGCAGAGAGGAGAGGGAATTTTCAGGAGTACCGCCCAGGGGCAACAGAGAGGACGGGATTCGGTGGAGACAGACGTGTCCCAGGAGGTGAGGACTTGCCCGCTGTCGGATGGCTAGACCAGGCCAGGGACCTTGTTTAGTAGCTTCCAGGCACACACTCGGCGCTCAGTACTTGTCCGGTGCACCCACCAATGAGCAACGCTGTAAGGGGGACACCGACCCCCAGACAGGTAGCAAGGCCCCTTCTTACCAAAACATCTGCAGACCCACAAAACCTCCGGCGTACCTGGAAACTGTGGAGCACAGCAGCATTGACCTCCGTGACAGCGCGGTCCTTCCAGAGGGAGGCCAGTGTGTGTGTCTCCAGGCCCATCCTCCTGCCCACTTCCTGCAGAGGCCGAGCGATGGGGTGAGGCTTCCCCAGGATCTACCACGCCGCCCACTGCAGCAGGCCCAGCTGGGCAGCCCTTTCACCTCCAGGATGTTGTAGCGCTGGGCATCACAGAAGTCCCGGGCTCCGATCTCCGTGCCCATGTACCAGCCATTGAAGGGACACCCTGGGAACTCGAGGCCGCCCACCTCCAGCATCATGTTGGCCACGGCGGGCAGGGCATACCACTTCAGCCCCAGCTCCTGGAACCACTCGTACCTGGAGGGAGGCAGGGCCAGCTGTAGTGGGGCCTTCTCCTCCACCCCCACGTGTGCCAGAAAATGTAAACCTTCACAAAGAGTCTACCAAGAAAATTCCTTTCCAAGAGCTGATCCCTAAGCCATTCCCCCAAGAGAGAACTGAGCTCAGTTGTCACTCATTAAATTGAGCTTTCATTCTCCCATGCAAACATATATTATGCATCAAACATGTGCCAGGCCCTGTGCTAAACGCCGAGAATCCAACATAACGTAGCAGTTAGGGGCAGAAAGCTGGGATTCAAGTACTGCCTCACTACTGAGCAACAGTGTGACCTTGTGATGCTTTTAACCTCTCTAAGCCTCAGTATCCCTCGCATAAGACAACAGCATCAGACTCTTGGGGTTATTTTGAAGATAATAACATCATTCACTTGTACATTCCATCACACCACAAATGTTTCTCAAGGAGCTTCCAGTCTAGCACCTAGACTGGTAAAGACATAAACAAATCAATAAGAACATGAAAACAAGAATCAATAGCCTGAGGGTGAAGGCGCCTGCTCTAGCTCAGGTGGTCAGGAGAGTGCTCTTAGAGGAGGTGACACTGAACGAGTCTGAAGTCAGAGGGGTGACAAAGTGGACCTTGAAAGCCAGCCCTCTGGGGGTCACCTGCTGCTGGCTAGGCTTTGGGGGGAGCTGCAGGCAAGGGCCTGATGGCGGGCATCTCACAGAGCATGGTCACAGCTGATTTGCACCTCTGCACCCTCAGCCGCTTACTTGGGATGTTCCACGGGCACCTCAAGCACAAGATCCGGTGGGATTTCAAAGAGCTCGGGATCACGGCCATCAGCCTGCAGGACCAGAGGCAGCACATCAAAGCGGCCATAGCGGGGCTCCCAGCCCAGGTCAATGCACAGCTGAGAGGTGAGACAGATCCAGTGAGTGTGCAGGCCCTGGCACCCGGTCTCCCTGGGGCTCCTCTCTGTCACCCACCACCGGATTCCTTGCCCAAAGGTCCCAGGGTACCTGAGTGAACTCCAGGTTGGCAGGATCCCCTCTGATGGTGCCGTCTGGCATCTGGTAGCCAGCGTACCGGATGAGCTGAGCATTCCAGACTCGGAAGTCATGCTTCCCGTCAGTCCGCTGGGGGAACACAGTGATGGCCGACCTTCCCAGGACACAGGCAGTGCTGGTTACCATCTGGCCCTGACAGAGACTTCGAGCCACCCTCTGCTGCCAGTACCTCCCACTCCACTCTTCCCACTCCGCAGCCCTGTACCCAAGCGGACACTTGCTTGTGCCAGCTCCTGCCCTTCCTCCATGACCTGCACAGGGCTGCCCTCTCCGGGAGCCCCCATCCTGCAACCCTTTTCCTTGCCACCCCATATTCTCTGCCTGCAGCTGAGTTAGTTGGATGCTTGTTCAGTGCCGGTCATAGGTTCATAGCAGGCTGGAGCCACATCTTAGGGTCTTGGTCACCTCTCCATCACGCCCCCTTCCCTTCTTTCCCCATCCTCCAGCCTAAGCCTGGTCAAGTCCCCATCAGGTGGGCAATGAGTATTTGCTGAACATGAAAATAAGTGAATGACACATGAGCTGTTTAATCCTATGGGGGTGGGCAGGGCAGTGACAAGCAGCAAGTCTCCCGTCTCTAAAAAAAAAACCACACCAGAGCCATCTGCTAGAAGACTAATGTCTCACCCCCCTAAAATGTGGGGAGCCCTAACTGAGCAGTAAAGTTATTTTTTTGTTTGTTTGTTTGTACTGGGGATCAATCTCAGGACTTTGCGCTTGCCAGGCAGGCATGGTGCCACTGAGCTGAGCTGAATTCCCAGCTCTTGAAGTTGCTTCTTAAACATGTACCTTCTGCAAGGGTCCAAGGCAGAAGGAAACTACAGAAATAAACTTCTGACGGGGCTCAGCTCATGGAGGTAGGCTCTCTTTAGAGGTCCCTGAAAAAGGCTATACCTTTCTCCTCTCTCTCTCTCTTCCTGGTTTTTCCTCAAGCTGGGGATGCCTCCCCTATACCCACAAGTATCTGTTGTCTCGGACCCTGAGGCAGGGAAAGGTACACCCACCTGATGTTGCCGTTGTTGGTAGCATAGCGCAGGTGTCTGCAGATGTGTTCAAACATCTCCTGGGCTGTGATACAGCTGCGGGCATCGAAGACCTGTACACACCCACCAGACCAGGCGGTCAAAGACTGTGGCACAAGCTTCATGGTTGATTGGAATCCTCTGGGGACAGTAGCAGCCTGCACACCAACACCACACCCTGGCCACTGTGGAGGGGCACATTCTCCTCTCGGCATAGGTAGTCCCATCTCACAGCTGCCCCATCCAGCCTTTCTCCTGCTTTGCTACGGGAGCACAGGCAAACCAACTCCAGCAAAGCCCAAATCCCAAGGAAATCTGACTTTAAAGTGCTGGGAGTCAGGATTCTAACAGCCCCTGCCTGTTGCCTTTTGCAACATGAACATGTGTTACACAGCCAGAGTTGGCTTCCCTGGCTTTTCTCATCACTTTCTCTGTCCACATGCTTTCAGTATGATCCAACAACAAATTGTCCTCCAACAAAATGACGGCCTAGGATGCTGGGATAAATCAAATGTTTTCTTGCAGCCAAGAATACAAACATGCAAGGCAAATAACCTCTCTTGCAGCACCAAAGCCTCAGCAATGACAAGAACAAGGTCATTCTTTGGTTTTGTGGTGGCATTTGGTCTCCCAAATTTAATACAAGACAGAAGGATCAGTTAGAGATCCTGGTACTGAATCAGATTCTAGATATCTAGCAGAGAGGCCCCTACACATCCATCTCAAATTGAGAACCCGGGGCTTTGGTTCCCATCTGTGGAGGCCAGAGGGCCACCTGCGTAGGGTTCGGGGCTGCCCACCTCCCTCTGGGCTCCCTCACCTGCAGGTTGGACCACTGGATCCTCCCAATGCAGCGGGGGGCGTTACGCCAGGCGAGCTTGGTGGCGAAGATGAGCTCATCTCCTGTCAGCTGGTAGGTTCCTGTTGTTTCTATCTCCTTTGTTACTGCTTCCACCCTGGCCAGATGTTCCTCTATTTTTGCCCTGGGGGACAGGAAGACATCCGGAAGATCAACAATGAGACGATCTTACCTGGAGATTAACTCAATCCACAGAAGAAGGAAGTGAAGTCAGATGCCAAGGGGACAAACTCTCTCTCTCACTAGACATTGTCCCCTCCAGGGCCAGCTGCGTGGACTATCATTTAGTCTACAGGAGTCCTGTATTTAATGCACTGCTGTCACCCTCTTGAAGTTGTTAGTCATGTTGGAATAAGGAGTACACATTTTCATTTTTACACTGGATCCTGAAAATTATGTAGCCTGCGATGAGCTGGACGGAACCCTTGTCATTTCTAAGTGCTTTTTTCTTTATTTTTCTCAGACATTTGCAAGCCCCAGAGGAGCTTTGTAAATCAGTCATGGAGACATCGTGCCTCTTTCAGTCAGGGGAGCACCTGTCACCTTGTCGCACCTAACAGAAGGTGGGCCAGCCCATCATGCAGCAGCTCCTCTATACTGAGACTCATGTGAGCCATGTACTAGGCAAAGCAACTCATGGCCATGGTCTCACAGAGTCTGTGAGGAAGGGTTCAATTTCTTTTTTTCTGAGACAAGGTCTTACTAAGTTGACCACTCCTCAAACTCAAGCTTATTTCCTGCCTTGGCCTCTTGAATAGCTGGAATTACAGGTGCATCACCACCTGCTGGCTTCGAAAGTGTTTTGTATTCATTTTAGAGTCTGGAGTGTCAAATCTCTAGGGAGTTAAGCACTGGGCCCAGAAACATTAGCACAGCAAAGAACAAAATCAGGACACAAACCCACTTTGCCCTTCTGCCAAGCCCAGGTTCTTAACTGCCTACAGAGGCCCTTCTACCTTCCATCCCCCTGGGACTACAAGACCTGAGACGTTGTCCTCAGGAGCCTGGGCAGGTCCAGACACAAGCAGGGGAAGGAAGGGTCAGGACTCAGGCTACAGGGTTCTAAGACCCGCCCAGGCAGGAGCTGTACCCAGAGATTTCTAAACACACTTCAAAAATATCCCAAAAGGAAGGACTTGGTCAGAAAGGCTTTGAAGCACACACACACACACACACACACACACACACACACACACACACACAAAAACACACACACTCAGAGCAACCTTGAGCACAACTAAAAGCTTTTGAAATGGCAACAAACAAAACTATTTAAGGAATAGATTTCTAAGGCCACTGAATGGACGAAACAGAACAAAATAGCCTTTTGGGTATGCAGAGTGTCTTGACAACTCTTCCTTGATTAGGAGAAAACGCACAAAGACAAAACACTGGGTGATAGTTACCCTCAAGGACATCCCTGCCATAAGGAACTGCCCCGTGAGGTCCACTTCCCCTCCCCAAACTAAGCTTCAGGCAACATCCCCTGTTCTTCTGCCGAGCACAGAAACAGCAGTGACCACGGCTGCCACTGAAGCTTCCAACATAGGCGGGAGCATCAACCCATGAATATTAATAAAACTCATCCTTCACAACTGTGCCCAATTCCCTTAGTTTTATGTTTTACCATTTCACATAGCCCTGTTTCAGAGGCACTAAAAAGTGCCATGATGCCTATTAGCTCTGAAAAGAAGCAAAAGGCCTCCATCTGCAGCAAACAGATTTGAATGCGACATTCAGAAAGTTGCAAGTCTCGAAATGCACAGTACTGCTTCGTACACAAAGCCACAGTGGGCCGTGCCTCTGGCTGCTGGTGTCACTGTGTGGATGGGCAGCCAGGCATCAATCGTCCCAGGACACTGGGGAACTGAGAGGCGGAAGTTCTTTCAGTGAGGAGCAAAGGGTTTGAAGAGCCACCGAGCCAGGTTTCCCAGGTCTGGACTAGAGTAGGACCCCCATGGCCCAAGAGATAGATGCCAGGGCACTGAGGCTGAAACCAAAGACCCCTGGTGCTAGCTGCCTGGGCTCAGCTCTCAGCCTGGGCCTGAGCACGTGAACCTTCAAGCCTGGTATCTCTCTCCTCTGTGGACCTCAGTTTCTGTAGGAGGCGGATAATGACAGTACCCACCTCATGGAGTTGAGGTTTCATTAAACTTAAATGACTTACCCAGAGCGCGTCATATGCCTTGTGCCCAACAGATAAAGAGAAAAGTACTGTGGCTCCGTGAAGTCCATCAGGGAAAAATCCCTGGGTCCCGAAAGGCTCACTAGATAACAAGGGAGCCAGGAGACCAAGGCCGGGAAGCTCTGTAATCATGAAGCACTTCGGGGGAGACTCCAGTTAGCCCACTCACAAAGCGGCAGCCTCCAGCAGCTCCCCGCTCAGCTGCACATTAAAATTGCTGGGAGGATTGGAGAACACAGGTGTCTGTGCCTTTCCCACCTCCCAACATGCTGCTGCCTCGTTTTTCAACTGAACAATGACTAATTGTAGAACTGAAGGACTGCCAGAAACACACTCACAGAAGCCTCACTGGGGACGAAGCAAAAGAAGAGAACCCCAGGAATGTGGAACCCCATGAGCCCTGTGCTGAGCACTAGCCTGCCCTCTCCAAGCCAGGTGGCCTTGATTCCAGCAGTTATTTGGTGACCCTGGGGGTGTGTGTGACTGCTCTCCCCTGCTCATAGCTGTAGCAGTAGGGGATGGGTGGGGTGGTCTCCAGGGAACTTTCTGTTCCAAGCATTTCACGATAATGAGGTCCATGTAAATTCACAATCAAGGCTACTTTGTGCTAGGACACAATTCTGAACTTGCATATCCGTAATCTTCTGAGCTAGTCTATTATCCCCATTTTACAGATGAAGAAATTGAGGCTCAGGGATGGCTTCACCAAGGATTCAGCAGTGGTTAATGGTGGAGCCAGGAATCAAACCCATTTACACCCCACACTTTTAACCCCAATTGTGAGCACCTCCTCCGGGTTCTCTTCTCCTGGAAAATTGCCCTGGATTCACTTACAACTTTGGGAAGGAAAGGGATCTAGGGACATAGGATAATTGCTGGGCATGGGGAGCCTGGACAGAAGAAGCAGTGACCTGTGGACAAAAGCCTTACTCTTTGAAGGAATCATAATACTGGTTGACAAATTCGATAGCTTGAGGTAGAAGCTCATCTGGAGGGGTAGACTTGTCCCTGGGTCCTCTGGTCAAACTTCTTGGGTTCATCACGGACCCCAGGCAAGATTTAGACTTGCAAGTAAAATTCTGGAAAGAGAAAAGCAGGTGGTGAGGATGGGAGCTTAGCCTCTGGACCTTCCTCCCCCAGGGCATCTGGCTGTGCCTTCCCCACCCTGAGGCATCCTCGTAGGGGTCCACGGGGCTTCCTCTCCACCCAGATTCCTCTCCCCTGGCTGAGTCCCCAGGGCCATGAGCCATCCCGGCCTCTGTCTCTGATCCTGGTCTCCCGCCAGACTCAGACCCAGACCAAAGGCGATAGTTCAGTCGCTGTGCTCTCTTATTTAAAGAGGTCCATTTGGCTCTGGCGGTATCAACCAACTTAATCTGAACCGAGACAGTCCAAGGTGCAATGCCATGGAATAGCGCAAAAAGAAGTCCAGAAAGACAGATGCTCAAATGTTTACTGAGGTGGTTTTGCGGAGTGGGCAGCAGGCTTTCGTGGTCTTGAAATTTTCAATTCTCCCCCACTTTACAGCCATAGTACGCACTGTAAAGTCAGAATAAGGAACAAGAGCTGGGGGTGTAGCTCAGTGGGAGAGCGCTCGGCTAGCATGAGAAGGGTCCTGAATTTGACCCCCAGCTCCCCAGAAAGAAAAAGAAGAAGGAAATTTAAAAAACAGAAAGGAGTGTTTTAAAGAGCATTTAGTCCAACCACTCATTGGCTGCTTAAAGCCTTGGTCTCCCTTGAGCCCTTCCAATGACAGGCAGCTCACTGCCTCTTCACTTAGTTCAGTCTAGCTTTAGACAGCTCTATTAGAAAATTCTCCCTGCTGAAATCTGTCTAAGAAAAGTATTACCTTCTTCCTGTAATCATTGTCTGACTTTCTGGATTACCCATTACACATTAGGGTGGTTAACAGGAAGTCGACCCTGTTTAGCCCCTGCTATACACAAGCCTTGGTCCCCAGAACCGTTTGCCCAAGATGATAGTTTGATTTGCCCAGGAAAACATCTGTTGGGTCCACAAAGAGCCCCCGTGGCTTTACCAGCTTGGGGCAAATGTGCTTCTCCCTGGAACCTGGACTTCTCACCGTTTCAGCCTTGTTGTGGAGCGTGTCCTGCAAAATCATCCCACTGCCCCAGTTCTTGATCGTCATGTGCTGGGGGCAAGTCGGCAAAGGCTCATGTGGCTTTGTCTGGGATTCTGGAGACTTCTAAGAGGGAGAGAAACCAGATTTTCCCAAATACCCACAATCCTAGGACCTCATGGGTCTCTCCAGCCTCTGGACCCTGCCCCAGCTTGGGTAGGATGGGCATCTACAGGTGGGCAACAGGGCGGAGAGTCAGCCCTTGACCCTCCTACCTTCCCAGCAGCCGGGCCATCTGGGCCTGGGCATGCTGAGAGGTCCAGGTGTCTGGGCTGCGGGCCACGCGTCTCTCCTCACAGAGGCCCTCCCAACACTTGCTCAGAGGAACTGCAGTAGGAGGGACTCGGATGCCACATGAGAGAGCCTGTCACAGCCAATACTGTTCCACCAAGAACAGAAATCAGGACAGGAGGAATATACCACTGCCTTCCTCCCCCCCGAAGCACTTCAGACATGAAATCCATGTTCTCTCCTCTCCCACTCATTGCTCTACCCACCTCCCTGGAACTCTTGAAGTGGAAAGCACTTTGGGAAGGTGGGACCCATCGCCCATACTGCTAGCCCACCCAGAGGTACCAGCGTGCCTTGGGAGTCATATCTCCCAACTACTGCAGCTCTTCCTGGCTCCCACCCCTGCCCCTGGGTCTGGGACCTTCCACTCACCACCCAGACCCGGGCTTCCTGTGCCCTTCAGCAGTTTCCAGTAGCTTGCACAGCCTGCATCTGCCCAGGACAAGGAGAAGGGGCTTCCCACATTCATGGGACCCACTGACCTCGGCTGTCCCCAGAAGGGGCTGGGAGGATCCATTTTGGTGCTTGCCGGGGCTGCAACATTTGGGGTCATTCTGTATTTCTGGGCTGTGAAAGGAAACAACTGTCATGAGACAGAGTCTGAGAATGGAGGGGGCTTTGGAGTGCCCTCTGCCAACCCCTCATTGTCCGGAGTGTGGGAGACAGCTGCTCATGGCTTCCAGTCAAGGAGGGCAGATGGGTCAGACAATCTCCCCACCATCACCATCCTCCCACTTCCTCTCCCTTCTTCCCCATACAAGGCCACAGGATACGAGGAGAGATGAGCCAGCTACCGGCCCAAAGGGTGACACACAGAAGCCCTGGGGAAAATGTCCCTTTTGGAAAGCCAAGTGCCAATGTGGTACAGGGGCTGGTGGGCTAAGAACGGCTCTATCAACTGTGCCCTCCCAGTAGCCGGCACTGTGCACCACGTGCTTGTTTCTAGTGACTTCATCTTTTCGACTTAAAACACTTAAATTACCTTGGTTTATTTGTTCACTCTACATTTTCATTCTAGAAAATGTGAAACACACACGAGTTTCAAGAATTGCATGATAAACTTCCATGGCCCTTCACCCACATTCAACCCCGTTTACCAGCTCTCAACCGGTGGTTCGTCTTGTTTCAGTGATATCCTCCTGGCCTCAGGAAAGCCAGCCTCATTAACAAATGGTGCTGAGAAAACAGGCCATCTACACGCCAAAGGTCTAGACCCATTATCTCTCACCATGTACTAAATTAAAATCAGGATGGGTCAAAGATCTCAATGTTAAAACAGAAAAAGCCTGCTGCTAGATAATAGGTGAAACTCTTGAAGACAGAGATGTAGGCAAGGACTTTCCGAACAAAACCCCAACTGCACAAGAAATAATACCAAGAAACAACAAATGATCGTATCAAATTAAAAAGTTTCTGCACAACAGAGGAAACAATCAACAACAAAACAACCTACAGAATGGGAAAAATTTTAGCAGCTCCGCAGAGAGCTAATATCTAGAATATATAAAGAGCTGAAAAATATTAGACCCTTCCAAATTAAAAGACCTAATCAAAAAATAGGTAAATGAAATGAATACACACTTGTTAGAAAAAGTACAAACAGCCAATAACCACATGAGAAAATGTTCAACATCTCTGGCCATTAAAGAAACACAAGTTAAAACAGCACTAAGATTCCATCTTACTCCAGAAAAAATGATCATCATCAAGAAATCAAATAATAAATGCTGATGAGGCCATAGGGAAAAGGAACCCATTTGTTGTTGTTGAAATGTAAACTAGTATCACCACTATGGAAATTAGTATGGAGATCCCTCAAAAAACTAAAACTGGAAATCCCATTTGAATTTCCCTTCTAAGTATCTTCTTGAACAGTTAAAGACATCATATTATAGTGACACGTGCATACCCATGTACATAGCAGCACAATTCATAACAGCTAAATCTTGGAAGCAGTCTGCAAATCCATCAGCAGGTGGATGGACAAAGAAAAGGTGGTATTTATACACAATGGAGTACTAGTCTGCCATAAAGAAAGATAAACAATAAGTCACACATGTGTAAATACCGAATAGTTTCTCTGGTGTGAAAAACTAATAGTACATAGGATCTTAATAAGATAATTGACAATGTGAAATAGGAATAAAAGGGTTAAAGGTGTAGGGAAAGTGGGAAGGGTAGGGGAAAGGTAATAAGGAAAAGAAAAACTACGAGAAAATGAAAAAATGGAAATAAAGTGTTTGTAAATGGGGAGGGGAGGAGGGGGTGAAGGGAGGGCAGGGACAAGGGGAAAAAATGAGAATCAAGACCGGTCGTGTAAAGGTACAAGACCCCAATAATGAATGTAACTGTACTGTATACCTAAAATGTACCAATAAACTCAAATGAGGAAAAAAAAAAAGATAAATGAGTCATCTGCAAGAAAATGGAAGTACCTTGAGACTAAAGTGTTACGTGAAATAAATGAGACACAGAAGCTTAACTATCACAGGGTTTCTCTTATGTGAGAAACCAAAATTATAAACAAAGAGCAAAATAAAAATAAGAGAAATTGGGAAGGGAGACAGGTCTTTTGCAAAAGGGAAGGGGATCAAGAGATGAAGGAAAGGGTGAAGGAGGGGACAGAAAAGCGATGATAAAAAGATGGAGATGTGTTATGTATCTGTGCCAACTCCCCACAAAGAATGCAATCGTTATGTACTACAAATGTGTACCAATAAAAAATTAAATTTCAATTGAAAAATATATGTCCTTCTGGCTTCTGCCTTTATCTGAAAGCAAAGCTAAGATAGAATATCATCTACATAATTATATACATTACACTGAAGCATTAGATGATTTATAACTGTAAAAAGATAATAGCCCTTTAAAAGAATGTACCCACAGTAGTCTCCCCTTATCTGTGGATTTGTTGTCCATGGTTGAGGTTACCCAAGGTCAACTGTGGTATGAAAATATTAACTCCAGAAATAAAGAAATCATAAATGGTAAATTGCACAGTATTCTGAACAGCATGATGAGATCCTATGCCATCTCACAGTGTTCTGCCTGGGATATGAGCCACCCCTCTGTCCACAGAATCCACACTGTCTACACTACCTGTCCACTAGTCACTTAGCAGCCATCTTTGCTATCAGATCAACTGTCAGTGTACCACAGTGTTTGAGCTCAAGTATCTTTATTTTATTTAATAATGATCCCAAAAATGAAAGAGCAGTGATTCAGGCAATCGGAATACGCCAAAGGGGACTGTAACAGACCTCCTTATAGTGAAAGGTAAAAATTCTGGACTTGTTAAGGAAAGAAAAAAAATGTAGGCTCAGATTTCTAAGCTCTATGGCAAGAATGATTCTTCTATCTGTGAAATTGTGAAAAGGAAAAAGAAATTTTGTGCTGGTTTCTCTGTCATACACATAAACTGCAAAAGTTACAGCCACAGTACAATCCAAGCACTTCGTTAAGATGGAAAAGGTATTAACAGTGGATGGCAGATATGAACAGAAAGTGGATTCCAGCTGATGTTAACATGTTGCAGGGACAGGGAGCATCTATACAAAGATTTCAGCAAGGGATCCCCCAAGACAAAATGATACCAAGCCATTGGCTGCAAGTAAGGGACCGTTACACAGATTCAGAGCTGTATTTAACCAAGAAATGGGACGTGGGACGTAAAAAGAATTAAGATGTATTATGTATGTGTCCCAACTCCTCACCATAAATGTAATCATTACATACTGCAGACATGTACTAATTAAAAATTTTTTTCATTTTCAAAAGCCCATATATATATA